GGAGAGGGTGAATCCCTTATGTCCACAAATAGACAGCGACATGCCGATGAGTGCGGCTTGAAAAATAATCAGGTCAACTTGACATGAACATTCATATGCCTCAAGACCTAACTGGACCATAAGAGAAGAGGGTGAATCACCGTATCTCAAACGACGGTAGTCTATCGACATTAGGGGTCATCAAGACGACATCAATGAAGTAACAAAAGGACGAATGAGCTAAAAAAAAGCTCAACAAAAGGAGATAGTCGAGTCAGGATACCGTGAATCTGTTTTCCTAAACTATTATGACCCTAGTTTACCTAATTGAAAATGTAGTCAAGCCAACTTGACTTGATATTTCATGTCAGCAATCCATGAATTGTGTCTGTTTTTCATTTATTTTTATTTTTATTTATAAAGGATTTGTCAGTTTGCTATTGTCGCATACTTTCATTTTTCTGAATAAGTCTCTTTTCTGGATCATAAAAATGATCGGGAGAAGGGAGGAACAGGAAAAGCGGGACATACGACAAAGGCGGACAAAAAAGAGAAAGAACGTGGAGAGCTTCCTTGCGGCAAACCTCACTAGGATAGGTCAAGCATATACGTCTGAACAAGATCAGATAAAAAGAAGCTTTAATCGAATATCTGTGAAAAAGTGTCTACAAAAGATAACAATCAGAGAATTTGATCTATTTGACTGTTTTGTGGTCAGAGTGCTCCTAAGTGAACACATCCCACTTGGTTAATTACATCTTAGTGGTTGCCCAAGAATACTCTTGATCCATGGAGTTTTGCTTACATTTAAAGTGAAAATTAACATTGAGCTATCAAAAAATTGTCATTTCTCCGCTGTCTTCAAAGCTCTCGTTAGGAAATGGGGCGGATAGTGAGTATCTTACGATCGCACATGAGTAATGGACTCCTCGGCATACAGAGCCTACGAAACAACTGAATCATCCTGACAGGGAACCTAAAAATGTCAAAACACGTCGGGTCATAAGAGCAGAGGACAAATCGTTGTATCCCAAACAGACGACAACTCATCAGTAATCAGGTCATCAAGATGATATCAACGACAGCAAGAGGAGCGGCAGGGCTCAAAGTGGGTAGTTAAATGGAAGGAAGAGTAATCCCTAACAGGTAAATGTAGTCAGGTCGGGGAACCACGAAACCAAAATCCCAAGTCACTGGGACCTTAAGTCTATCTGGTCGAGAAGGTAGTCCACCCAACACGTCCAGTGATCCTCGGTCAGCAATTCGTGAATTACAGCGTCCACGAGGATTTTATTGGCCCAAGATCAAAGGAACGAAATTCTATCATATGACTACCAAGTATAACACAAAGTGGCGGGACTTATACATGTCGAAGTGTTAAGGTAGCCGCTAGAAAGGAAGAGAAATGGGAGGTTTAGGTACAAAGATGGAAACACTAACAACAATAGAACTTACTCCTTGTCTGGGTCAGGGAAGCCACTAACGCCCTAAACACACTAGATAATCACTTAAGTAGAAAGCTATGTTGGTTCAGTCGGATTGAAGAAGCATTAGGATATCTCCTCGGGACATGTAGAATGATGCAGTTATTTATTCTTAAGCATGGATGCTCTATTAATTATGACTTGGGATATAGTCATGCATAACCCATTTTAAAACTGATTGAAGGCCATGTAAGAAAGTAACTTCAGGTTTTAAAAGTTTTGAATATTTTAATTTTAAAATTTTGATTATATCAATCTTTTATTATTAGGGTTTTGAGTAGAAAATTTATAATTGTAAGGTCTTAAAGAACCTAAATTTCATTTCTCTTAGTGTCTCAGATAAATCAGAAAGAAACAAGGAAAATAATACGGGCATGCACACATGCAATAGAAAGTAAAAGCATGCCAAATTATATAAAAGATGACAATGTCGCTAGGTCGACGACAAATCCAAGAAAGAGAAAGCATGCACATACAACACACAAGAAACCCGATACTTTGTGATTGTTTGATCAAGGTACGAACAATCACAGTAAATGCCAAAAAGGTGGATCAAACATCATTCAACTGTGAATGCAAAAATACCGCATGCACATCGCCTGGGAACTTACCCAGGTGTCATGCAATAAGTAGACAAGTACTATGAATGAGTTTACATCATGTATAGGATGCTTATAAAAGGAATTACTCCTTGTCCGAGAAGCACTCAAACGAGCACATGCAAACATAGAATCAATGCAAATGATGCCTAGAGCAAATGAAAATCATATAAAATATGCTAAGTGCCAAATATACTAGGTAATATGATTTGTGTCAAATGAGAATCACATTCTTATATGGACAGGCATTGTGTCTGCACGAGTTCAGTGGCTAGAAATTATGACTCGTATTAGGCACAATGTGAGATACATACGACACTCCTAGACGGTGTCACGGGAGGTAAGGTAGCACAACCCTCAGTAAAGAGAATCATACAATAAGTGACTTTATATGTGAGCCACCTCCTCACGGAGTGTGCAAACATCTATCCACTTGCATGCGATGGCATGTGTGGGAGAGAAACTTGTAGTTATAAGTGCTTAAAGAAACACCGCAAGTGAGGGTGCTCAAAGACACCTAAAGATGCCAAACACTAGAAAGCATGAAGACATAAAATTTTACGTGCAATGAAATATAATATAGACATAAGGCCAAAAATAGATTTTTATACATGTGAAAATCAAGCACAACAAGCAATGTGATGCAAAAAAAAAATTATACAAGTATGCAATGGTCAAACAATGTTGGCTAAAGAGGGCCGATCGAACCAGAATGATGGTTGATTGGGTTGGGATAGCTGACCAAACCGAAGTGAACAATTGATCGGGTAGGAAGCCGATCAAACCCAAATGATTGGTCGATCGGGTCGGGGTGATCGATCATACCTAAGTGATTGGTCGATCGGGTGAGACAACCGATCAGAGCAAGTGATAATTTGATCAAGCTGGGGTGGTCGATTGGACCCAGGTGATCGATCAATCGGATCTGGACAATCGATCGAACCGAAGTGATCAACCTATTGGGTCGGGACGATTGATCAAACCCAATTGATCGGTTGATTGGTTCGACTAGACCAATTAAACCAAAGTGATCACATGATCAAGAATAACACATACATAATGCCACGTGCAAAATGTGATGAAAGGCATGCAAGTAATAAAATCGAGTACACTCGACTGAGAATTGAATTTGTCTTATTGACCTCACATAGAATCTAGGGTTAGTGATGAGTCGTAGCTACAATCCATTACGCGATGTAACGGAGGGCCTACCTTTAATTGTTCTGCAAAAAAGTAAATGAGCTTTTTCACAAAAAGAAAACCTTCAAAAAAATGAAGGTTTTTCCTCACAGACATAACCTTCAAATTTAGGAAACGATGATCAAAGGAATTTCACGTTCTCTAAATCCATGTGGCTTCAACCTATTCATCATGGGATGAAGTCGTCGAACAATCATGGGGTTACTAGGTTCCCAGCTGTTTAAGTCAATGTGCTAGGATTTTGGAGGAAAAAACTCAAGCATTCATAGGAGAACAACAAACAGCTCCTTAACCTAGTGGTTTCCTCTAACACAATCCTAAACTTAGTTCTTTAACATCAGACCCAAAGACTTGCTAGGAATGAAATTTTGTGAATCACGGAAGCTTTCTCACCTACGTTATGGTTGGAGACGCGTTCACTTTTCTTGTTTCTTGCTCCGACTTTGCTAGGATGGAGCTCTTCTTCTTCCTTATGAGAGATGAAGCTCTCATTCTTCCTCAATGTAGCTCCTCCACAAAATTTTCTCACACACTCAAAGAGATGGTGTAGGAAGAAGAAGAGGAATGTGAAGAAGAAAGTTAATGGAACAAAAAGAAGAAGGTGAAGTTGGGGTTGAAGATGAGAAATAAGAAGAAGCCTTTTCTCACCTTCCTCCATAGCTCTCCACCACCAAACCCTACAAGAAAAACCCAAAAAGAAAGAACCAACCTTCTTCCTCGCCTTTTTGTTGAAAATGGTCGCTGCCCTCTATCTCCAAATCCTTCTAAGTATCCAAAATGGTATCAGTCTGTCCACTTTTTGCCTCCCCCATGCACATCTTCCCTTTTCCCCCATGCACATCTTCCCTTTGCCCACGGGAATCTGCTTTTTTGGCTATTTGGGGGCTTGGATCTGCCTTGATTCAGCCAAAATCCTAAAAGAAATCAGGATCTAAAAGCAAGTTGGCACCTAGGGGCCAATTAGGGCACCAGGCACTGGGGCATGGCGCCTATGTGCCTGGATTGGACGCCTAGTTGTCAGGCTCTCGGTTTTGTGGCCTCTAGGGCTGTTATGGGCCCCTAGGCGCCCGAAATTGGCGTCTAGGCGTTGTCTTGCCTAATAAACCCCAACCTTCACAAAAAGCATCTGGCGAAGGGTTTTATCGATCTGAAAAATACGAGAGAATATGTATGATTGAAACATGGTCTTATACCTTCAACATAAGCATTTTTATAGGTTTTATATCAGAGATTTTAATGTCAATGAGTACTCTGAACCACTATGGGGGTGTATCACCCCAAACTCTAACTTTTCCTGAAATGTGTGTGGGAGGGTTTTATGAATTTCTCAAGCTACGGGAAGCTACGTATGAGTGTTATGTGATCCGGTATCACTCAAAAGGGTTTCCAAAGTGTATGACATCAAAAATTAATGCCAATACTTATGTGCCACCTTACTTAAGTATGAAAATGTATATTTTAATTTTTAAAGGTTAAACTAGTGTTGCTTTAAATGTGATATCAAAGATTTGGGTGATATATATGTAAGAAAAACAAAATTTAGGTGTTGGATATCTAACATGTTTTCTTCAAGAAATAAATATTAGCCTTTTGAAGTAAATAACTCAGATTTACAAGAGTCTTTAATTTAATCTCATATTGAATATTTGAAAACAAAAAACATATCAATGTAGAAATAATCAGTGATCAACCTTCAATTATAGACTCATATTTCACATTCAAAAAATTTTATTCACCTAAATATAAAACCTAACCTCAACTTTTCTTTGATTTATGACCCCTACGAACAATTAGGTACATATCTTCTTTACTATTTGCAAATATAATTCATAAGAAAAACAGCACCAAATTGCTCAAAGTTTGCGAAGCATATCACTGCTTTTTGAACCATGCGGAAAAAAAGGAAGCTGCTGCTTCCTCGCTTCCTTCATTCAAGCTTTATGATTGCCTTCCCCTAATTTCTCTATCTCCTCCTTAGTCTTTGAATTTGCCACCACCAACCGAGCAATATCACTTCGACAGAAAGGGCAGGCCGGTGCAGGATGGCATTGGCTATCGGTCTTGGGCTTGCTATGGCAACACAAGGACACGGTGCAGTGCGCGCACATCTGATGCCCGCAGTCTTGCACCTCTATTGTACAGGCCTGCTCGAAGCAAATGCAGCAGAGTTCCATGCTGTTACACTGCAATAACATGTTTTGAGTTGAGAAAGCTTCGCTTTGTGAGAGTGTGAAATGAATTATGAACTAAAAGGATGAAATTTATGAGAGTTCGTGCTGAATCTTTGCAGCTATGAGCATTTTTAACTTTCAGAGATGGCGATGTTTCAGGTTTATGTACAGGTTGTAGTTTGAATCCTGTTTATATCATCATTTGGATAGGAGAGAAAAGTTAGATTTTGAATTCTTTCTAAATTTCATCTTATGCGTTTAAACTTATATGACATTATGTGAACATGAAATTGTTAGGGTTATGAGCTAAGGAAAGGTTTCATGGTTAAGAGATTATACTTTATGGCTGTATGAGACAAGTATTGTTCAATGTTACTTGAGTAATAGTATTATCTAGGTGACAATGTTAGTTAACAACTTCATCCATCATAATGCAATATATTTGATTCAAAGTTATCTTTAAAAAAAAAAAGCAACGCTGGCTTCTACTTCACTTGGAAGAATTGAAGTTAAAAGCAGGAAGGAAAGACTACCTCAAGTTTATCATCATCCACACTTTCGGACCGTGCAGGCGATGGCAACGAGAAAACCGTTCCTTTCATGATCTTCTTCTCTCTTTTCCTGTTGGCGGCCACGAGAGCTTTCTCCAATAGAAGCTTTACGTCTGGGTTAAGTTCACTGAGGAACTTTAATGGAGAAGGCCATACTAATGGTTCTGCAGAAGATGGATTCAGCAGAGCAGCGCATAAAGGATGCCTCCTCGATGCAACAACATATGCTGTCCTCCTGCAAAAATAAGCACGATGATTAACAGTGAAAACATCAACAAGCAATGCAAGGATGGGTTTTTCCTTTTTTTTAATAAAAATCCAATCTTTATAGCTTACCCAGCTGAGTCCATTTGAAGGCGATCAGCTCCCCAAGCAAGCAACTCACGTACACATTCCAGGGAACCTTCACGTGCTGCCAAGTGAAGAGGCGTGCTTCCTAGAAAACTACACGAAAAAGTTTATTTTTAATCCTACAAGCTCTGAATGAAACAGAGTTGATGAAGTAATGAGCAATGGACTGTTAGGGAATGCAAAGTAATAGGATCAAAGTTGGGTTGATGCAACCACTTTGGATTTTTTCACCGAAGTATTTGTATTTTTCATCATTAAGCTCAATGTGCTAATGTGTTAACAATCTATTAACCTCCATAATCGAATATCACCCTTCTTCAATGAGATTCTTAAATGGCATAATTACATGAACTACTCGACCTCATCAAACAGTTTGCTCTTATATTAGTATTCAAATTTGTTTCAATCCAAAATTTAAACTTCGTGGGTAAAGTTCAATTATGAGACTAAACTCAATACTCTCACAATTTAATGAGCCATTGTGTTAACAATCTATTACCCTCCTTAATCGAATCAGTATTCATAAGCCACATAATTACATAAACTACTCGACCTCATCAAAATTTAGCTCTTATAATAGTGTTCACATTTGTTTTAGTCCAAAATTTAAAATTTGTGAATAAAGATTGTTAGGTATGACTCATATGTCAGATAAGGTACAAAGGTTGTAGCAGAGTAGAAACATCTATCAAATTGAGAGAGTTTTGCTAAGCGATTGGGGGTGCGGGGACAACGCCCTCGGGGTACGGTACAGGGTAATTTTGCAATTATATATTCTACACTAGGGTTATATATATATATATATATATATATCCTTGTATTCATTTTTTATCGTTGGGTTCTTAATTCTTGTGTTTCTTTGCCCTAATTTCTCAACAAAAACAATTATGAGACTAAACTCAATACTCTCACTGCTATCACTTGGATCAGTGGTTCGATAATTTGTCACAAATCATAAAATCTTGAGTTCAAGGCTGTGAGTAATAAAAGTAAAAGAAAAAAAGTCAACTTCTCACTGTTTAACATATAAGTATCCACAAAAGTTACCCGCTATAACCAGATGAAGCGGAGACAAGAGCTCCTTTTTCCAACAGCGTTCGGACACAGTCCAATCGGTTTTGCTTGGCAGCAAGATGCAATGGCGTTTCCCCCTTTGCATCTCTGACATTTACAAAACGAGAAAATCCCCTGAGATTTAAGAACAAGAGAAAACAAACCTTGAGATTCAAAGAAATCTGAATCAATCAAAGGTGAAAGCTTTAAAACTCACCATGAGTCAGAAATCTGGCTTGAGTGCGCAGTCTGTAGAATCGCTTGCAAGCAATCTGAATGACCATAGTAGGCTGCATAGTGCAAGCAAGTTCTTCGATGGACTGAATCAAACAGCAATATCTGAGCACAGGTAAATTAAACCTAAGTATAATCGCTAAATTACCAATGGATAAAATCTAAACGCAACAGATAACTTCAAAAATTCAAACACTCTTAACGGTTGCTTCCGCTCTAAGGAGTTTCTCAATGCAAGCTAACTTCCCACGCATTGCAGCCAGCATAAGGGGAGTCTTCAGATCAAAGTCACAAAAAAAAAAAAGTTCAGTATAGCCAAAAAAAAAAAAAAAACAACTTTTTTTATGAAAAAGATCGAATTTTTCACGATCTGGTTACCCGTTTTTGCCGGCTGAGAGCATTGGGGTGAGCCCCGAGATCCAGAAGCATGGAAAGCACCTGAAAGCATCAAGGAAGATCTGAGAAAGAAAGATGAAGCTTATTAGAGAAGGCGGAGGGGAAAACCTCGAGATGACCATTGGCAGCGGCTATGTGTAGAACAGAGAGGTCGCTGTGGAGAGTTCTTCGCCGGAGAATTCCAGGATGAAGCTGAAGGATGGATTCCACCACCTTGAGCTCGCCGGACTGCACGGCGGCATATAAATCTTGCTCGATGCCTGGTACACGGCAGCTCAGAGTTTGACCCATCTATGCCACTGAAGCTCTGTTCGTTCTGTTGCTATAATCATAAGAGAGTATTTATAATGAATCCTTCTGTACTGAAAACACATTGTCGTATGATGTTAGTTGCTAATCCGATAATTCTTATGTATTTATGTGTCTAATGCTTGTCATTTAATATTTTGGTGAAAATATATATGTCTCATTAAAAATGAATAAGACAGATATTTTTGTGAGAATGGTATTTTTATTTTTGATGTGATATTAAAAATTTAAGTGAGATAGAGAGAGATATGTAAATAAAAAAATTTAAATGATAAATATGCAAATGCATAGACATATATTTGGTATGTATTAAAGGCCACAAAATAGAAATGTTATTGTTAATTACATTTAAATTTAAAGTATTTCAAAGCCCCCACAATTTAGTTTATCTATTTTTAACCTTTCTCTTAATTTTGATTTTGGACCTTGAAGTTTTGGTTTTGGTGATTAACGGTGCAATCATTTGCTTCTCTTCTTCTTCTTCTTTTTGTTTTGTTCTTATTTGGCTACTCCTTTCTTTATAAGGATTTAAATATTTAACATTATTTCTTCACATATAAATTTTTTTTTTTTATTTGAAATGAATATGTATATTTCTTTCTAGACTTGGGTTGTAGTTTGTTCACTTTCTTATTGTGCGTAAAAAATGTGACAACAATGATATGGGGGAGATCTAACTGCGATAAAGAGAGTATAACGACAGAGGACCCATCAAAAGAAGAATGTCAGGGTTATTTATCGGACCGAAAGGAGTCGTCCTAGCTAATACCAGCAAAATCAAATTCAACTGGGCCACAAAATATGATCGAATGATCTAAGTCAAAATTGATCAGTCATAAACAAAATAAAAAGACATTCAAGTAAACCGCCAGTAAGAAAGCCAACCCAATAGAAGTCTAAATCTCTTAGCATCTCCAATCATACTGGGAACATTTGGTAGTCTCCCCACCCATTATCAAGAGTCAACAACCAGGTAAGACCAACCGACTGGCAATACCGACTAAGCTTAGCCGAACACACCGATCCTGCTGACTTGAAGTCAATCAAGCCTCTCCATTCGAGCCAGCAATCAGCCGAGCAATAGGAATACCTTATACAACTCCTTTAAAGTAGGGGCAAAAATATAAAATCATAATTCTACTCTCTCCCCTATAAAAAGGTAGATCATTTTATGAATAATTAGACACGATAGACATGATGTATTATTGTTCATTACTCTCTCCCCCTCTCCTCTACTCCCTCTCTCGTGACTACCATATATTTCTCAAGTGCGATTCAACGAGTCAAATGAAGACCCAACACCCATCATGTTACTTTCAATTTTTTCTTAATTTGATTTATTGCATCATTATGATAATGCATTTTGATTTCCTTACATTCCTTTGTAACTTTTACACTTTCAAGAAATTTTAAAAATTCAGAACATTGAAATACTTCTTTTTTTTTTGTCTGCATTTTGCAGTTGCTCAAATCCAGTAATTACCAAAGTTTACACTCTACAAACTTAGCCACTCATTGCCACCATTTGAGAGAAATCGACCATTTGCCTTGTCTGCTGGCCCTTCTTGTTGTCACCCATTGCTGTTGTTACTTAGCTTTAGCATCAAAATATCAACTCCTCCAACATAATTACAACTCCAAATCAACAAATACTGTCAAAAATAAAATATTCATCCAATTTCAGAACCGGTCTCTGCTGAAATCTAACCCAAATAAAAAAAAATATCATTTGGAAATGACCCAAACATTTTCAAATACAAACACGTATACGGATTCAATTCAAATGATGACACCGAGCATCCTTAATATCGTTTCTTTAAAACCAAGTGGAAGAAAAGGATAATTGCAAGACCATCTTAACAGTGTCACCCATTGGGAACTTCTTTGGACGAATATGTAAATTTCAACATTTGTAGATATTCGTTAAGACATGAAATGTATAAATAATATTAGATATGCCATCATTTTAATTAAGAAAATAGTTGACTGCGATTTTTTTTTTTAACGTTTATATAAAATTAAATAATTAGAAATAATTTTTATTTATGTAAAAATCAATGTTTAATTTTTTTAAGTATGATTTAAAATAACATAATAATGATGTAATTACATAAATTAAGAGAAATGGATTGTGAAAGAAAAATGACATCGAAAATATCATTTCTGAATCAGCAGAGTTGAATAGCTTGTAAGGAAAATTGATTAATGCATGATATACAGCTGGTTAAGAAGGTGGATCAAGCATTAATATTATATAGGTACTTGTGTGTTGTAAATTAAAATATATGTATGTTTAAATTTTCAATTTAAGATTATAATTTAAATGTATAAAAATATAAATAAGTTTATAACATGTTTATCAGTTTCATTTAGTTCATTTAGAATTGGCTTGGTTTGATGTGAAAAGAAAATCAAAGTAAAATATGCTCGATAATGAAAACAATGCCCAGTGACGGACTGCAGGCGACTGTTACGACGGTGAGCAACAATCGCATGGCATGCAGGAGGTGACCAATATTGGCAGTCAACAATTAGGGGCAACGATGTATGACGATGAGAGACTGTAGGTGGCTGACGACTGGTTGTCGGTTCCAAGTGGTGGCTGGTACGAGATGGTGGCAGTTGGTAGCTATAGAAAGGGAAAGAATATAGCTCATTCATTGGGGTCCTTATGTAATTTCGTCCATATCTCATTACTCTCCTTTTTCTCCCATGCCTCTCCTCTCTCATTTTGGGTGCCTTTATAAGATTTCCATGAAGGTGGATTCATCCTTCTGCTACAGTGGAAATGGCAAAAGTTTGTCTTGTTGTGGCCCGTGTGTGCGATCCTGCTGAGGCTTTTAATTCTTTTGTTTGTGGTATGTGCCTTTCCTATGGGAACCAATGGCAGTGGGCTTTGTATACCATCTCTTGAACTGAGGATCTAGTAGTTGGATTGTTAGTCTGTTGGTAAGAATGCAGTGTCGTGACACAAAGAGAGATTTGGTGAGAATGTCTGAGAGTTCGTCTTGAGACATGGTGTGCTGGAGCTGAACCTCTTTGCTTTTGATGTGATTATGAATAAAATTGTAATCTACTTCGATATATTTTATCCTGACATGAAAAATGAGATTATGAGCAAGTGTGATGGTTGAGGTGCTATCACTGTAGAGATCCATTTGTGGTCAATGGATTTGAAGGAGTACTTGTAGTAGGGGTCGAAGCCAGAGTATATCAGTGGTGACCGAAGCTACTGTCATGCACTCGACTTCTATCTAGAATCTGGTTACAGTTGGTTGTTTTTGGCTGACCAGTAAATTCTGTTGGGTCTAAGAAAAACACAGAAGCATGTCATCGGGGTTGGAAGCCTTGTATGCGTCAGTGAATGCCTTGAGTTGAAGGTCCCCCCTGAGTCAATTAGTAATCCATAGTTCTTTATGCCGTTCAAGTATCTCAATAGTCATCTTAGAAGTTGTGTTTGGTAAGTGAGAGGCTTTGCATGTGTTGCCTTAGAAAGTTGATGTTGACTGTGATGTCGTGGAGAGTAACCGTGAGGAATTGAGAAAGCCTAATACTTATCTGAATGTGGTGGGGTCTGTGGGGGGGGGGGGGGGGGGGGGTGTTTGGCATTTGATAATATAAGTGTTATGACGAGTTTTAAGTGCAACATGTTAGTGTGTTGGAGTATATCAAGGAGATAGGCTGATTGTTTAATGAAGTGGCAAGTTGAGGTGTGGTAAACATGAAGCCCGAGGAATTGGGATATGGTACCTAGTTTCTTGATATTAAATTGAGTAGCTAGATTGGCAATAAATGTTGTGATGAAAGTGGAAGAGTTTTCTATGATGAGGATATCGTTTACATAAATAAGTAAAAAAAATGTGATGTGCGCCTTTGTGTAGATAAGTAGGGAATGCTCAGTTGTGCTTAGTGTGAAATTTTTGACTGAAGAGAGATTGGTAGGAGGTGGAATACCATTAACAAGGGGTCTGTTTTAACCCATAGACTGCCTTGTGAAGTATGCAAACATATTTTGGATGTTGAGAGTCTTTGAAACCAAGTGGCCGAGACGTATAAACAAGGTCATTTAACAGTCATGTAGGAATGTATTCGATACATCAATTTGATGAATTTGCCAGCTTTTAGTTGAAGCAATTGAAGCATTTGAAGGTAAGAAATTTTGCCACCGAGTTACATGTTTGATAGTAGTCAATGCCATATTGTTGAGCACAATTGAGAGCTACCAGGCAGGCTTTGTACCTGATAATGGAGTTGTTAGAGTGTATTTGGTTTTGTGTGTCCATTTGCAACCAATAATAGTTTGATCTTTGTGGGTGGAACGAATGTCCGGGTATCCTATTGTTGAAGAGCCAAAAATTTGAAGGACATTGCTTACATATAATGAGAGAATTTACTGGTCAGTGAGTATGGGTTGGGTTTGGCAGTTGAGTTAGTGTGGATGAAGTTAAAAAGTTGATTTGGTTTGAGGGAGCCAGTGTGTTGTGTGACGATCATGGGATGCATTTTGATTGGGTTGGGATGTGTCTGGGTGGTTGGTGTTGGAGAGTTTAACTGAGGATCGGGGGAGGGGGTAAGGTGTTGGTTGCATTGGGTGTGTTGATGTTAGGTTGGCTAGAAGTTTATATGAGAGAGCAAGTCTTGATGGGTTTGTGAGTTGGATAAGGTTGATGAAGGTACGAGGAGTGATGGCGGAGGATTGACTATGATAAGTTGTGATGGCGAGATCAGGTTGGTAGATTTGTATGGAATGGTGTTTTTTAGGAAGCTCGCATGGCGGGAGATGATGAGTTTGTGTTTGCGGGTGTTCCAGCATTTGTTGCATTTATGATGTGTGTTGTAGCATTGGAAAATGCATAAAGGAGCCTTTGGTTGCAATCTTTTTTCCCCATTTGGGGCTGCTACCAAGGAAAGTAAGCACAACCAAAAGTTTTTAGATGATCATATTTTGATTTTTGTTATTAGAGAATTTCATATTGGGATTTATATTTGTTGTGACTTGAGGAAAATAAGTTTAAAAGGTAAATTGCAGTAAGCATGGCTTCCATCTAGAATTGTTGTGGGAAGTTAGCGGTGTGAAGAAGTGCGCATGTTATTTATATGATTTACACGTAATTGCATTCGAAGTATAGGGGCAGAACATTTATTGGGTGATGCCACAATGTTTTAGATGGAATTTAAGCTGATATGATGTATATTCACCGCCACCATCAAATCTAAGGAATTTGAATTGGTGTTGAAGTGGTTCAAAAGAAACTTATGCAGGTAAATAAAATGTTAGCTTGTTTCTAAGTACTGATGCATTGTAAACAACTGACAGTAGTTGTTCTGCACATTGATAAAAGAAACATAATAGTGATATCCATTAATAGAAGGTATTGGTAACGGGCCCCATACATCAGAATGTAGTGCTTCCAATATATTGTTTTTAGTATGATTAGTGGCAAAAACAAGTTTATGACTTTTTGTTTGATGACAAGTTGCACAGAAAACTTTGGATATAGGAATTCAAATGAGTGAATTGGCTATGGAGATTTGGGAAACAAATTGTTAGTTAGGATGTCCCAGTCGAAGGTGTCAATTGGGGGTTAAGGTAGTGGAATGTAGTGTTGAAATTGTTTTGAGACCGTGCTTAGAAGGTTCTGTGTAGATTGTCTTCTTTGTCCGTCGCTACTTGATGCAGTAACCATTATCATCAAAATAAAATGTAGCAATTGTTGACTTGGGTTAATTTTGAACTGAAATGAGACTATGGTAAAACTGAGAAACTCAACATAGGGATGAGAGTTTGAGCTTAGTAGTTAATGTCAAAATATGCTCGAAATCTGTGTGGGAAATGGCGGTGGTTTGTCCATTACCTATCATGACTTATTCTTGGCCTTGATTAGGAGTATATATGTGAGGATTGTTAAGATGAGGTGTGAGGTGGGCAATGGTGCAGATGTTTAGAACCCAATCTTGGTTATGGGTGTTGTTGGTTGTGGTTAGTTAAGTGATTTGAGAGGTGGAGTTAGGTTTGTATTGGAGGTTGCTTTTGTGCCAACATTGAGCTCTTGTGAGTTTAATTTTATGGCATATATGGGATGTAAGTTTGGGTTTATTTGTGGTATTTTGGGGTTTTTTATTGTGGGTAGTGGTTTTGGAAGGATGTTTGTAGGTAGATTGTTGGGTTTTTGTTTTTTTTGTGTATAAGGAAGCGGTAGGTTGGCGTTTCATGATTTCTATGCTATGTTTCATTCCTCAGTGTGAAGGAGAGAATATAATTTATCCACCTTTATTGGGTTTAATAGTGTGTGTATTCCAGTTTTGAATCCTTGGTATTGAGGTGGCATTCTATTCAGCTCGTGCATGATTATATCCTCTGTATCTATCACAAAACATGTATTTGCAAAATTGTCAACAATGGTTTCGATGTTGGCCAGATATTGAGACATTGTGAAATCTCCCATATTAATGTTATGGAGCTCATTTTGTAATTATATTGGTCTTGATCTATTTATTGACTAGAGTTGACACTCTAGTGTTGACCATATTGTTGTTGTGCTTGATAAATTGATAACAAATGATAGAATTGGAGTTAAGATGGTGGAGAGAAGTGCGTTTGAAGATTTTGATCTATCAAATTTTAGAGGTGGAAATTTGAGTTTTCTTCTAAGTTCACTGATCCAGCCTTAATGACTTTTGAAGGAATCATTGAATGCTCATATGTAAATTTTTTGAATTCATTTGCTGTGAATAATTTGAGGATCTATGTTCTCCATACCTGATAATTCCCGTATTGCAGTGGAGACGTGGTTATAATCTTGATGTTATACATGAGGAATTTCAAATGAGCAGGTATGTTAGTTTTTTCATCCTTTTCAGTGAATTTATTGGATACTGAACTGATCTTGTAAGAGCTGAAGATGTAGATGAATCCATGGATCAATGTTCGTCTGGCAGAAGATCAGACAACATATAGAAAAGGGAAAGAATACAACTCATCCACTAAGGTCCTCGAGTAATTCCCTCCTTTTCTCTTTACTCTCATTTTTCTTTCATACTCCTCCTCTCATTTTCGGGTGCCTTTATAGGATTTCCACGAGGGTGGATTCACCCCTCTACTACAGTGGAAATGACAGGAGTTTGTCCTGTTGTAGCCTGCCGCCTTTGCTTTCGATCCTGCTGAGGGGATGTGAGGTGTTTTTTCTTATATGTGTGGTATGTGTCTTACCAGTGGGGAATAATAACAATCATGACTACAATTTATAAGACATTTAAAAAATTAGACAAATTTTCCATTACACTTATGTTGAACTATAAAGTTAATTCAAAATTCATCAAAATTTTATACTGCATTTCATTATTGTCTAATGTTTAAATTGAGGAAAATTATAAAACTAGGACCAATTGATTGTTCATCTAATTGAGATACAATTAATGGTGATGGCTAAGATATGTTAAAGTATAAATTCTTATAACGATAATTAAATGACACATTATATTTGACTTATTTTTTATTTTTATTTAATTTAAAATGAATTAGTTTGATGCTGGCACATTTGGAAATTAAACAATATAACTTAGTTAATTTTCAAGATGAGACCCAAAACAAGCCTTAGTTTTAAATAAAATATAACCTAATGATCTTTGTTTTTTTTATTTATTTTGTGGCATTTACAACACTCCACTCACTTCCTATGTATTTATACATACAACATTTCAATTTTACATTTTACATTATGCCATTCAATTTTTTTATTTTATATTATAAATATCTTAACTTTAAGTTTTAAAAAAGTGATAGACACCTTTTTATATATAGATAAGGGATATATATATAAATTAAACTTTAAGGGTTGGCTATGTAAATTGGTAAAAATTGAATGATATGTGTGTAAATATTCCTTCTATTTTTTTGGCTGCCCTTAAAGGAAAGGTAAATATCCCTATTGTCGTCATTCGAACGAGGTCAACGCTCTTATTAGGGTTAGGGTTTGGAATCAGAGACTCCATTCGTACCGAGGCTGTTGGGCTTCTGAGACGACAAAGTTGAGGTTTGTTTTCCTCCTTACCACTTTCTCTTCACGAAACTGCTCGTAAGGCATAAAAACCTAAGCTTTCGTTGTTAAATCAAGCCGAAAGTTCTTGATGATACCATTGCTTATTTGTTCGTTGTTCGATCGTTGAATTGCGTGTATGCAAATATCTTGGTTAGATTTATGGTCGATCTGCTATGAATTTCTTAAAAGTTTATTTTCTTGAAGCTGTGGGAATTGATGGCTCCTGCACAGCCAAAGACAGGCCTTTTTGTTGGGCTCAACAAGGGGCATATCGTCACCAAGCGGGAACTGCCGCCTCGTCCGTCAAGCAGGAAAGGGGTAAATGATAACAACTCAATTTATGGTTCATGCTTGTTGTTCTTATTGTTTCTTAAGATTTTATTGGGAAATGCTGATTTATTTTACTTGCTATTGATGACATATCTGTTAAAATCTTTTGAATAGTTTGAAATAATGTGTCTGTGTACTAGTTTTGATGCATGTTTGAAAATTCGTGGCGGTAAAGTAACGAATTACTTTCTTAGCGTTGTGCGAGAATCAAACACGTACTTAGATGAAAGAAGACAATCAATAGGAACATCATGAGTTTTTACTTGGAAAACTTGGAAAAAAAAATTATGGGGTCTTGCTTAATTGAAATATTTTAATATGAGTTGGTGGTTACAAGTTCATCCTTTTATCCCATAGTTGGGAAAAGATTGCAGAACTTCTCATATTACAACATTTGTGTGAAATGACTTGTTGCCTCGCGGTAGGAGCTGGCGATTGCCAATATTGGTCGACGGTGGCCAGTAGTTGGCAGTTGGAGTTTGATAAATGTGGCAGCTGCCGGAGACGGTGGCCAGTAGTTGGCAGTCGAAGTCCGATAATTGTGGCAACTGCCAGAGACGGTGGTGGCGACAAGAGCTGTTGGAGGCGGTGAAGTTGGGAAGAAGTGAAGACGATGGCCGATGGTCATGGAGGCCGAAGGCGGCAACGATGACGACAAAAGGAGACAGTGGCGACTGCCGGAGGCGGCAACGACAGGAGCTGGCCGTAGGCAACGACGACGAGAGAAGATAACGATGGCTGGAGGAGGCGACGACCAAAGTTGGTTGGATGTGATGACGAAGAACAGGGGCGGGGGGACGAGACAGCTTGAGGCGAGAGGCGGTGACGATAGGAGGCGGGAGGTCGACGATAGTGGCTGGATTTGTGGTGCAAGATGTTGGGCTACAACTCCCACTTCTACAGCCTCTGGTCTTCCTCTTGCCCAAGACCTAGCTTCCATTCTCATGAGGAGGATAAGACTCTATTTATATAGTCTGAATTGTAAATAAATAAGGAATCTTGACAACTCTTAATCGGACGACTCAAAGATATTCTCTTGATTGGATGATATTCGGTGAATGACTTAGTGCCTTGATGTTTAATTGAGATTTGGACTCGTTGAATTCATCTTGTCGAGATGCTCGATTTGAATATACACGTATATTTGAAATTTGTTCGACTTTCCAGTTATGCCCAAAAAACTTACAAAAGTGGTTTAAGTGCTTGATCTGAGTTTGATTTGACTCAGATTGGCTAAATTTTAATACTGTTGGTTCTGTCATGTCGAGTCAATATGTAAATTTACTGAAATAAAAGCCCTGAATGAGCTTTAATCAAACTTTGCATGTTTTTTTGCTCAAAAATGCTTTTAGATTTATGCTATGGATCGCGATTCATGCCCAATGATGAAAATTTGTTAAATTTTTATCAGTTGTTTTCTATTTTCGGGCTAGGCCGACTCTTTGATCCAAAAATATCAAAATCTGCAGCCCTTCTATTTTCATGATAATATTATTCGTACATGTGTGTGTATTTTTATTTCTAAATTTCACACACACACATATATTCCGCGTACTCATATCAGTTGGTCGGGCATTTGCTTGTCAGTTGTAAGTTCCCTCTGGTTTGGGGTTCGATTCCCCCTCGAGCGTAGGGTGTGGTACTTGAATTCTTAGGCGCACGAGGGATGGCCGTAGCTCGTATAATAGCCTTTGACCATTCTTAGGCGCGGGCGCGTTTGCACACTTATATTTATATATATGATAAACCTTTATAATGTTAGGAACTAGGTATAACTCAGTTGATAATGTGGGATTAATCCGTTGTTAGAGTGAGATTTCCTCATATATATTGAATTTTACTTTTTGGTTTATATAAGATTATAATAAGCCGAGATAATATAAATAATCGCGTGTAGCTTAGCTGGTGAAGAAAGTAGTCTCAATAGTCTTTTTTTGCGATCTTCTTTTGCATCGCTGTGAAGAAGCAAAATGTTGCCTTGAAAGTTATCTCTGACTCTGCCTAGCAAGACATCCAAGAGCTTTTTCACAATCTTGTTTTTGTGCTGTTGTGAAGAAGAAAATTATCCTCGACCCTGCTCATCACAACATTTGAGATTCTCTTTTCGTTTTGAAGAAGTAAAAAGTCTTCCCAATAGTTGTCCCCGACCATGTGCAACATGACATTTAAGAACATCTTTTGCGATATTCTTTCGCGTTGCTATATAAAAGAAAGTTATACCCAACCCTGTCTAGTAAAACATTCGAGATCCTCTTTTTTGTTGTGATGACGACATCTGGGAACCCTAGCCTTGTTGAAAACCAGATGAAATATCATAACCCCAAAGAGGCGGTGCCAGAAGTAACAGAGGGCAATTTGATTCTATTTTGGAGGAAGTGCTACTTCCTAAATGTTATAGTGGCGAAGCTATCAACCCCAATGGACCGAGCATATTCTCTCCCTTCCAGATACTTCTTTATTGACTAGGCGATCTTGCGAGTTGACATTTGATTTCCGTCGGTACCTGAGTTAATGGACATTTTTAAGGCGACCAAAATTTGCATTATGCAATTTTCTTGCTTGGTGGCTATGATCATCATCGGGTTAATCGTTTGTTCAAAAAAAGTGGGTCAAAGTTGACCCTAGAGATTTTTGCTCGTCCGTGAGGAGTTGTTAGCAATGTATAGGACCGCGTGTTTCTTTGAAACAAGGCACTGAATTTTTGCCCAAATAATCCTATGAAGCAGTGGTTTGTATGATTTATCTTTGCTTCGAATGACTGCAGTTTCAGTAAGGGACAAAGGAAGTTACAATAGCTGTCTGCCTGTCTCCATACCACCAAGTAAGTAATATTGTAGGTGTTAGGATTTTAGGACCTTAAGGAGATGCAATTTGAGGTGGAGCACATCTAGGAACTTGTGAGCGAGGAATCTCTATTCTAAGTCAAGCTTTCATTCCACCATGAGCAATCTTCGGTTGTGGCCTTGAAGAAGTTCAATAGGAGGCTCCATGAGTCAGCTTCTGCGACACCCTTGAAGCGTTCTTTACCGAGCAATGACTGTGTGGTACTTTCTCAGAAGTAGCATAGGAGCGAAGAGTCGAAGAAGTCTTCACCCAACCCTTCAAGGATTCATATCTCGAAAAATGTGTTAACTCATACATGCATCGGGTTGCAGAAAATCAAGGATTTTGTGAGTTATTTTACTCTTTTTTATTATTACTACATAATTATTTCATTCGATTAATGCTAAACTATATTCCAGCTGAATAATATTACGGAACTCCGATGGAGCTTGAGCTTGTTTTAGGAGATTGAAATTTTGAGTTTGTCAAGATCAATTTCTTCTGTGAAGGTTGAGTTAAGTTCCTTCGGGGCGAGTAAAAGTGCCAATATGTTTTAATAGCTGAAGAAGTCGCGATCTTGGAGTCTCAACTGACAAAGTGTAGGACATAGCTGTCCATGATGGTGATTTCAATCTCGCTGCATCATTAGAATATGGAGAAGACACAAGAGGAGTTAGTAGATGCGCGAGCCGACCTCAGTCAGGGTAGTAAGGTCAAACCGATGCTAGGCCTCCTTTAGGGCCAACACTCTCAACCACAGAGTCTTCATCTCTTATTGCTCTGATTGAGGCTGGCCTGCGCCTCTATCAACTCCTCTCAAGTCTTCTCTAGGTCCCGATGATGCAACAAAAGAGAGATCTCCATCATAGATAGCTTTGTCAGATACTCTATCGGCTGAGACTTCAAGGCTGCGACTTCACCTTAAGCATCATATCTGCGCTTCTACTCGCTTTGGAGGAACTTGATATTGAAAAACTCAGAGTTCCAGTCTCGCAAAGCAAGCCCAAGCCCCATCTGGAGTTCCGTCATCTTGTTCAATCGGGAAGATGCGCAACCGGGAAGATGGTTTGACACAGATAGATAAAATAATTATGCAATAATAATAAAAAGAGAAAGGGGAGAATAACTTACGTAATCGTCGGCCTTCTGCAACTCAGTGCACACATGAGTCAACACGTTTTCCGAATATGAATCCTTGAAGGATTGGGCAAAGACTTTGTCGCCTCTTTACTTCTCCTACGCTGCTTCTGAAGAAGTACCTCACAATCACTGCTTGGTAAAAAACGCTACGGGGGTTCCGCTGGATCGAACTCTGGGGGCCTCTTGATAGACTTCTTAAATTACACGACCGAAGATCGCTCAGAACGGAATGAAAGCTTGACCTATAATAGTGATTACTTGCTTACAAGATCGTAGATATGTTGCACCTCAAACTACATCTTCTTAAGGTTATGAAATCCTAACATCCAAAACATTACTTCCTTGGTGGTATGGAGAGAGACGATCAACTGCTGTAACTTCCCTCGTCTATTGCTGAACCTCCGGTTATTCCTAGCAAAGAAGAATCTTACGAACCACAACCTCATAGGATTCTTTCAGTGAAAATCCAATGCATTGTTTCTGAAAAACACGTTGTCATGTGCGTTGCTAACAAGTTCACACAACTAGGCCAAAATCTTTAGCGTCAATGTTGACTCATGTTTTAAAAAAAAATGATTAATCCAGTGTTGATCATTGCCACTAGGCAAAAAAAATGCAATGCAAAGTTTAGTCTCCTTCAAGATGTCCATTAACTTAGGCGACGACGGGAATTACATGCTGACTTGCAAGATCAATCACTTAGTGAATGACGTCTCATATCTAGTAGGGGGAGTGTATGCTGAGTTAGTTGGGGTTGAAAACTTCACCATTATAACATTCAGGAAGTTGTACTTCTTCCGAAACATAATCAAATTGCACTACGTCGGCTTCAACACCGCCTTTTTGAGGTTTTGACACTTCCTCTTGTTTTCAGCAAGGCAAGATTCTCCAGATGTCGTCATGGCAATAACAAAAAAGAGGATTCTGGATGTCCTGTTAAGCACAGTCGGAGATAACCTTCTTCTTCACAGATGCATGAAAGAAGATTACAAAAGTAAATCCCGAATGTCTTGCTTGGTAGGGTCGATGACAACTTTCGGGTTGACTTTCTGCTTCTTCATAACTACAAGAAAGAGAATTCTTTTAACCTTCCACTTCATAGCAACGCGAAGGAAGATCACAAAAGATCTTTAGATGTTCTGTTCGGCAGGTCAGAGAAAACTTTTACGACGACTTATTGCTTCTTTACAACGGTATGAAAGAAGATCTTGGCTGTCCATGGGCAGTGTTGGGGACAGTTTTTGGGACGGCTTTCTTCTCTATCTCCTCTTCCTCCTCTTTTGGGCCTCCTCCCTTATTCTGTCTTATTCCTTTTGTGCCGATTTCGCTCCTTCCTCTCTTGGGCTTCTCTATTTGGCCTCCTCCCTTCCACACATATTTTTTCTCCTCTTGGGCCTCCTCACTTGGATCTCTCTCTTCCTCTTTCTTCTCATCCCTCTTCCTCTCTTTTTGGCGTTGTTTTCCCCTCATTCTTGGCCCCTTTTTATAGACCCAAGGGAACCAAATCTTTGCTTTGCCTCTTTTCGACCCAAATCTAGCCTAATTTCAAATTAATCAGAGCCCTTGGATTCATCTCCTTATCCAACCACCTGATCTGGTCTTTTGGATGCCCACCTTTAGATCCCCACCGCTTTATCTTGCGCTTAGATCTACCATCTAGGTCAATCGCCTAAATCTCAGCTGCTTGTTATAATTCCCACGAATTGCTGACGTGGTGCGGGCGTGCTCTATTGGGCTAGTCCTAGGGTCGCTCTGACTTGATATTAGCCCGCTGACCCATCCCTCAGAGCAAACCCGCTCGGCTCGCCCATACCCGTCGCTCGAACCGTCTAGGCCCGACTCATCGACCTGCTTCTCAGGGCCAAACTGCTCACGACATAAGTACAAATAATATGGGAAAGAGGGGATTCGAACCTGTTTGCATAGTAAGGGAGCCATGCTACAACTAAGCTGTGCGCATTACTTATATTATATAGGCTTATTATAATCTTATATAAATCGAAAAGTATAATATAAAATGGAAGAAGATAAAATTCCTTGCTACCAATCGATTAATGTGACGCTATCAACTAAGCTATGCCTAGTTAATCGACACTATCAACTGAGCTTTGCCTAGTTTCTGACATCATACATGTTTACTATATATATATATATATATATATAGCTTCAGATTTTGATATTTTTGAACGAAGAAGCTGGCCTTGCTCGAAAATAGAGGAGCAACTGATATAACTTCAACAAATTTTCATCTATCATCAAACATGATCTCGAGATATGTTGCAAATATCGAGATAGGTTTTGAACAAGAAATGTTTAAATTTTGACTAAATTCATTCACATTTTTGTACATCATAAAAATTAGATAAACTTATCATTTGTATTGAAATTTAAATTTTGCGAAGTAACACCTTTCTCAGGTGGGTGATACTGAAAAAATGTGTCTTATGAATTGTAATAATATTTGTAAGGAAAATTTCATTTATTTTCAAAAATCGTATATCCTAACTTGTATGCTGCTCAAAATGATCATGCCTTATACATACATTTTTAGAACAATGGAATATAATAATCATGAAAAATAGCATATCTACATGGGTGTGACAACCCGTAAAATACTAGTAAACATTTTTGGTACACCATTGGATTTCAATTATATTTTTTGATAATTTTTTTTATATGCACAACTATTTGTTTTCTAAAAATAGTGTACATGCCTCACTTTTATGTAAAAAATTACTTTTGTCATGTGCTAATACTTTTCCAAACCTCAAAGAAAATATATGAAAGACTCGATAGATATATTATATAAGGTGGCGCTTTTGTCTATGAATCACGTTGATGTTATGTAGGGGTGTAAATGAGTCGAGCTTGAGCGAGCCCACGCTCGGCTCTTGATCTGCTTGTTAAAAAATATCATTGTTCGTGTTTGACTCGTTTATATGTCGAGCTCAAAAGATTTGTTTGCTTTTGGCTCGTTTGCTTATCGAATCGATGAGCCGTTCACGAACAATGACCCATTTTGACAACCTTAGTCATATAACCGTAGATGTTAAGGGTAGGACAAGATTTAAATCTTATTTTTTACATTAAAATATTCATCTCAATAAAATTTATTATATTTTATTCTATTTGTAATCAGTAATTTTAATTAATTATGAATCTTTATAGCCTTGTACTCTATTAAAATGTTTAAAAATAATACTCATTATATGTATTTATATAAATAATTTAATTATTTAAAGCCAAAATGAGTTGAATACGAACGAACAAATCTTTGTTCGTGTTTGACTCGTTTATATGTCAAGCGCACAAAAATTATTCGTGTTCGGCTCGGTTGCTTAGTGAACGAACCGTACATGAACTACTTAACGACCCGAACACGAGCTGTTCACGAACAACGAGCCGTTTTGACAACCCTAATGTTTTATAGTTTGAAGATTAGAGCAGAAGCCCTAAAAAAATTAGGGATTGATACATTGATTCCATGAACAAAAAACAATGGTAGTCTGTGAAAAATTGTCTTTTGGATGAATTCTTTAATTAGGGAAACTTATATTAGATTTGGGAAATTGCAAATTGTGAAATGAATTGTAGCAACGATGCTATAGTTTGATGGAGAGTAAGTGTCATCAATCTAATTATCAACTATCGGATGCAAGTCTGTCTATCCTCATCAAATGGGCTTTCTTGCAAAATTAGGTACGAAGTTTTTGCTTAGCTAAAAATCTTACCTTTGTCGATTATTCATTTTGTGTGATCTCTTTTTGAACTTAGGCCAATGTTAGTCCTTGTGATATTGGCTCCGAGCATAAGAGGAAGGTGCGGTGCCTGCCCTTAGGGTTGTCAATAAACCAAGTCGAACTAAGTATTGATTTTCTTAGACTTGTTCATTTAATTTTTTATTAAGTTCGACCCAAGTTTGAACATGACACAAGTTTTAAAATCTTGTTCAAATCTGTCTATTAATTTTATTATCAAGTTTGAGCCATAATCAAATTTTAATTAAGCCTTACTAAAGAAATACTAGTTAACAATTTAAACATATTTACTAAATATAGTTTGATTCACTAATTTAATGAAAATTGACATAATTTATTTTTTATTATTTACCTTATTCGGTAAAATTTACATATTAATAAAAGAAAAAATTAAACCTACCAATCTATCTATTTGTTTGAATTTTTCATCATATTTGTACATGTAATAATATTGAATTTTTTGAAGTGTATAAGATGTTAAATGGTTAACGTGAGAGGATAATCTAAGTCATTTAATAACTAATTAAGTCAACATTAAGTGAGCATTTATCTAGTTTTTAGATAGCTACTTATTAAGCAATAAATGGGCTGGTTTACAAGCATATTTTAACAACAGTCAGTGTTCAACCTTGTTCAGTTTTTAAAAAATTGTCCAAACGTGTTCAAGTATACAAATAATCAACCATAAAAAAGTTTATATAATTGTTCATCTAGTGCGCTTAATTACTTTCATCTTTATCCGCAGCTAATAATTTCTCCAAACTTCTATTTGAGATATCAGCGAGCGCCATTGGCTACAATCTGCTCCTTAGCATAACTTCTGAAGAATATTCTTAAAATCAGCCCCAAGTAATGAAAATTTTTTATTTTCTGTTTTTCTTAGACGAAATGTTTTCAGCTTTTGAACATCAGGACCTAGAATACATATAGATACTGGGACTTTAAAATATATAGTGGATCCTGGAAGCTTGTATTCTTGCTTTACATTTTTCAATCGAGTTGATGAATTTACCTATTTCTCTTTTAGGTATCTGCTGTGTAATAACTTGATTTTCTTTTTTATCAAGCATTAATAATGAAAATATAAACAATTTTAATGAAAATCTTCAAATCATTCCGGCCTTTCTTAATTTTTTTTTGCAATTGTTAGTCATTCATGTCTGTTGAATTTTTTATATGATATGCTTTATGTATGCGGGCTTATTTGTTGATATGAAATTTCAGAAAACTAGCAAGAGGGTTCATTTTGTAAGGAACTTAATCAGGGAAGTTGCTGGGTTTGCTCCTTATGAGAAGAGGATCACCGAGCTTCTGAAAGTTGGCAAGGACAAGCGTGCACTAAAGGTGGCAAAGCGAAAGTTGGGTACACACAAAAGAGCCAAGAAGAAGAGAGAGGAGATGGCTAATGTTCTGAGGAAGATGAGGTCAGTTTTGTTTTGCAGTTGACACTTTTTTTAATGGGGAATTTAGTTGCATAGCACATAATTCTTATGTATTTACATATCTCACACCTAATCTTTTGTATTTACACAGATAGCACTCAGATCTTTAACATCACATAAAAAAATAGCACTATCACAACTTTTAAAGAGTGAAATACACCTTTTCATGCATAGGTATAAAGCACTAAAGTGATGTGTATTTATGCATGTATGAAAGTTTAGGTGTGAGATACCATGCATGCAAATTTCCCTTGTGTTATTTGTTTACTGCTGTAATGTTGCATAAAAATCAAGCCATTACTCTTTACTGCTCTTATATTTGATTGCTTATGAAGTTAGATTTTGAGCTGTTTCCAACAATTGGAGAGCCATCGAAATTATATTTTGATTTAAAAACCTGCAAATTCTTGAGATTATCAAACATGGCAAGACTATAAATGGTAGATTTTGAGCTGTTTCCAACAATTGGAGAGCTAACAAAACTATATTTTGATTTAGGAACCTACAAAGTCTTGAGAGTATCAAACATTGCAAGACTATATAAATGATAATAGATTTCTATAAAAACCTTTGGCATGATTTTTGAAAAACTTAATTTAAAATTCTTGAAATAAAGTATAACTTCTGATTTCTATTCACTATTTAGATAACTGGAATCGCCATTCCTTAACTTATCACCTCATTTTCTTTTTCCATCCTCATCTTGGCTCTAGGGTCTATAGTTCTTAGCATCATTTGTTTTTCGCCTTAGATTTTGCTATTTATTGGTGAATATTTTTATTTGTCATTTTGTCTGAATATGATCAGATCAAATATCACCTGCTAAATCATTTTTTTAGTTTGAGCACTTTTTTTTTTTAATTTTTGCCATTTATATTTGTGTTGGTTTTATGTTTTTTTGACATTTATAATCAATCAATTTTAGAAATGCACCATAACAGTGAGGATACAGCCATCATGATGGATATTGCTGCGGTTAGAAGCATAGAGTGAGAAATAATTGAATTATATAATGGCGGAAGTTTAATATATTGAAAAGAATCGGAATCAATGAGGAGAGTAATGTGATTTAAATTTTCTCAAAACGGTATGTGCAAAATGTAGTATAATGTTAATGCATCACATGTTGCACTAAGTGGAAATGAATAGATATGAGCATCTATAATATTTATCTGAAGGAAGATTTACCTACATACCACGTAGCTCCTATGTATTTACATATCTAACTCTAAACTTCAATTTTAATATATATGCCACCTTATCTATGGAAGACTTCCGGCTTCTGGTGAAAAACAAACAGCAAAAAAATATAGCAGAGAAGGTAAAGTGGAAATAAGAAATAGGATTGATTTGATTACATTACAACAGCGAACAGCTACCGTCATATATATAGAAAGATGGCAAGATGCAGAACACAATAACTAACGTATCCTATGTAGTAAATGCTAACATCCCCCCTCAAACTAAATAATTTGGTGAAGAGATGGTTAGTTTGTTGCGGATTTCCTTAAGTCTATTATTGGAAAGAGGTTTGGTAAAGATGTTTGCAAGCTGATCAGTAGTAGTAATATGATGAATCATAATCTGATTTTTCTGAATGCATTTTTTGATGTGGTAGCAGTCATTTTCTATGTGCTTGGACTTGGAATGAAACAATAGATTGCTGGCGAGAGCAATTGCGGAGGTGTTATCACAATGCGGAGTAATAGTAGGAGTATTCTGAATATTAAAATCTTGTAGCAGACATCGTAGCCAAATAATGTCGGTAGCGGCCATGGCAATGGCACAATAATTATTCCAACTACCATTTGTTTTGAACTTCAGAACACCTCTATTAGTTTTCTTCCACATAACCAAGTTAGTAACAGGTTTACAATTAGCAGAATAGAGATATTGAATTTATTAAAAATCTGCAACATAACACTTCCAATTGGTTTATTAAACTTTCCATACTTAAACATCTTAAAAATAAAAGTACTCAGCTTCAGTGGAGGAGCGAGCTACATTTTGTTGCTTTTTAATAGACAAATAAGATTAGCACCAAGAATAATACAATAACCTGTGGTGGACCCAATAGTCAACATATGCCCTTAACTTGAGGTTGCTTTTGATAATGGCTAAGTTGAGGTTTTGAGTGCAATGAAGATATTTAAATGAGCGCTTTAGCAGAGTGTTGGATATGTTGGTGCATAGTTTGACTAATTTGGTTGACAACATAGGAAAGATCGGGTTGAGTGATTGTGAGATACTTTAATGATCCAACAAGTATGTGATAGGAGGGATCATGATAAGGAGTGAGATCAGGAGCCGACATGGTTTGACGCGAGATGGAAGAATTTTGAACAGATTTAGCATTAGTCATATCGGAGGTATGCAAGAGCTTATTGGCATAGGTAGTTTGATAAAGAGGAAGACCAAAAGATATGAAAAGAGTTGTGAAACATAAGAAGGTTGTAATGATGCCCAAATTTTTTATCTTAAATTGTTGTTGAAGCTGGTGAAGAATAATGTTGATCGTGTCTTGATGATTCCCAATGAAAATAATATCATTAACATAAATAAGAAGATAAATGTGAATGGTCTTCTGATGATAGCAAAATAATGAGGAGTCGACATTATTAGGACTGAAATTCAGATGTTTAAGATAATTAGTGAAAGTGGCGAACTTAGCCTGGGAGCCTGTATGAGACCATACAAAGCTTTCTTAAGATTACATACATAACAAGGATTGATATGATTAGTGAAACCTATGGGTTGCTCCATATAAATAGTATCAGTAGGTGACATTGAAGGAAAGCATTTTGGACATCCAATTGAAGAAAACGCCAGTTAAGAGAACTCGAATAGTAGGCATTTTTTTGATAGGATTGAAGGTGTCAGTGTAATCAAGACCATAGTGTTGTTTGAATTCTTGAGCAAAAAATCTTAGCTTTGGAATGTGTAGCAGAACCATCCACATGACATTTGGTTTTGTGGGTCCATTTACAACTTTGAAGATTTTAGACATCCAACTGAAGAATATGCCAGTTAGGAGAACCTGAATAGCAGGCATTTTAGTAACAAGTTCGAAGGTGTCATTGTAATCAAGATCCTAGTGTTGTTTGAATTCTTGAGCAACAAGTTTAGCTTTGTAATGTGCAACAAAACCATCCACAAGACATTTGGTTTTGTAGGTCCATTTACAACCTTGAAGATTTTGATTATAGGGAGGAGGAACTAAAACCCAAGTATCTTGAGCTTGTAAAACTTGAAATTCTTTAGGCATAGCTTGTCGCCAGTGATGATGTTTGACGGCTGCGACATAGCAAGTTGGATCAAAATGTTGTAATTGATGAGTAAGATTCATAATTTGTTTAGGTTTGAGATGATCGGTTTTAAAGCGAGTAATCATATGATGATTAGGAATATGAGACGAAGGTTGAGAGGAAAGATTTGAAGCGGTAGCCTGACCCGAGTGAGAAGAGAGGGAGGCGGTCGATTAGGTTCATTGGAGGGATGGGAGGGAGTAGGAGAGGGAGTGAGAGGAATGGAATTTTTACTAGTCCTACTCAAAGAAACCGGTGGCAAAGAAGTGGGAACTAACAAGAGTGGAGGTAATTGAGATGGAATCGAGGATGTGAGAGTGGTATGAGATGAGATTTGTTGGTAGGGAAATATGGTTTTGTCAAATATGACATGTGACATGATATGTAAATTTTGTGAGTGTGAGGATCAAGACATTAGCTTTTTTGAGTAGCGACATATCCTAGGGAATCACATTGTTTAGAAAAAGGAGAAAAATTGTGTTGAGAATATGGATGAAGCCATGGAAAACATTGATATCCAAAGACTAAGATGATTATAAGTGCGAGGTTTGTTATGAAGACATTCTTATGGGGATCTAATTTGAGTGGTTTTGGAGGTAAGTCGATTTACAAATAACATGCAGTAAGAATAGTGTCGGCCGATAAAGTATGAGGTAAGAGAGGCCTCGTGTAGGAGAGTACGAGTGGTTTCAAGTAAATGACGATGTTTACGCTTAGCGATACCGTTCTATTCCAGGTTGTAAGAGCTAGTGTATTGTTGGGAAATGTTAAAATTGGTAAAATTATCATTAATGTATACACCACATGCATCAGTTTTAAGAATTTTAATGTGATTTTCAACCAGTTGTTTAAACTCTAACAAATTTGGCCAAAGTTTCATTTTTATGTTTGAGCAAGTAAATCGAAGAGAAATGGGAGTGATCATCAATCATCAACAAATATTGCATTTTGATGATTACTCCCGTCGTCAATGAATATTACATAATATCTGAAAGATTGTAGAGAGGAGTTTGGGGATGGTCCCCATACATCATAATGAATAGTGTGTAGAGCATGCAAGGCTCAAGTGGCGGAAGCCAAGAACATTAGATTGCGACTTTTGGCCAAGCGGCATGACGTACAACTTGATGGCAGAATTTCATGACTCAATGAGGGAATGCAGTGCTTGAGAAGGTGTTGAACTTGATGACTGGGATGGCCGAGGCATTTATACTAGAGATTGGGAACTTGTTGGATAGGGAATAGAGCAAGAGATCTCGTTGAAGAAGTATCCAATGAAGGGATGGGATAGAGTCCTTGCACACACGATCTTTCAAGGAGCGTTTTGTGAGTCTGTAGATCTTTGGCAGCATATCCGTTAGCTGTAACAGTGATGGCACGAAAATTAGTAGATGTAAGCTTATGAAGGGGTGTAGAGATCAACGAAATGGTGTTGAAGGGCAGTGCAAGTAGCAGTTTTGAATGTGTGGTAGTTGGAAGGAAGCCCGTTGATGGTGCATAAAATAATGTCTTCGGGATCAACCACTCCTGCGGCAGCCACTAGATTGACTCTTTGTTTGATATTCGAGAGATATTGTTGCATAGTCTTTCCTTGCATCTTGAGATTATGTAATTCATTTTTGATTTTTAGAATGTGGGATCGGTTGGTAGATTGTAGATGATGATTAAGGATAAAAACGGCAGTGCAAGTGTCAAGATGAAGGACATAAGGAAGAATGGATGGGTAGATAATTGAATAGAGAGCGGCAACAAGGTTTTGGTAAATTATCATCCATTGAGTATAAGCATGTTTGACATGCTCACCACTGGAAGAATCAGAAACCGTAGAGGCGGGTGGATAGCGATTTCCGGTCAGGAACCCTTCAAACCCATCAGCCTTTGAATAATTTCAGCACTTGAGCCTTCCAAGTGATGTGATTTTCAGCATTTAGGGGTGTGGATATGCTGTTCTTGATGTGAGTGATAAGGAACTTGAGCTCCAAGTGATGTGATTTTCAGCATTTAGGGGTGTGGATATGCTGTTCTTGATGCGAGTGATAAGGAACTTGAGCTGTGTGGGAATAGGATGATCTCAAGGTAGAGAGGTAGGATTAGTGGGGGAGGCAACAATATGAGCCGAATTGATTGAGGTAGAATCCATGGAACCAAAGAATATAAGAGAAAATACAGGATGGTGAAAGATTAAGGGGAAAAAAAACCGAGAATGAAAAATAATATTACAGAGGGAAATCATGAAATTTTTGAGCCTTCTTAAACCGCAAACCTAATAATCGGACGGTAGAGAGAAAATAGAAAAATGTAGCAAAAAAATAAAAAAAAGGAAATGCAGGAATAGTGGATACAGATCCTTTAAAAGGAAAGGGTAGAGCCTAATATGAAAACCCCACCTGATGATGGAATAGGATCCCAATACCCAATCAAGAGATGAAAGAGAAAGTTCTTGGACAAGAGATGAAAAAGCTGATTTTCGGTTTAGGAACCTTGAAGAGGTTGTGTGCAGTGGCACCGACAGGGAGAGAAGAGCCTGTAGCAATAAGATGAGAGACGAGGTGCCGTGAGGCACAGAAGCTCTGATACCATGAATGAAATCTGGCTTTTGGTGAAAAACAGATAACACAGAAATATAGCAGAGAAGGTAAATTGGAAAGAAGAAATAATAATGATTTTGTTCATTACAACAGTGAACACCTACCATCATATATATTGAAAGATGGCAAGATACAGAAAGCACGCACAACACAATAACTACTGTATCCCATACAGTAAATGCTAACAATCTATATATATAGAAAGGCCATCTTACTTTTTAGAAATCAAAATAGTGGTATTTTTTATGTGATATGAAAGATTTGGGTGTACTAAAGGTAAAAAGTAAAGTGTAGCTGTATGACATGCAAATACATGCGAATTGAGTGGTATGTATGTAAATGTCCCCATGCCTATATGCATATAAAGCAGTATTTCTCTTTTTAAATGTCATAATAGTGGTGTTTTTGATGTGATATGAAAGATTTGGGTGGTCTAAATGTAGAAGTAAAGTTTAGCTGTAAGATACGCAAATACAAGCGAATTGGGTCGTATGTATCCCAATATCTGAATTGCTGTAATTAATTTGTTTAAATTTCAACAACTTGGACTGTGCAGCCTTCTCTGAAGCTATTCTATATAGAATTCATGCCGATAGTAATATTCATAACATTAAATTTTTTGTTCTGCAGATCTGCTGGTGTTTCCGAGAAGAAAAAGTGAGGAGATGAAGACAATGCTACAACTAAAGTGGAGTGAAGCTGAAGCTTTTTTTTTCTTCTGAAGTTTCATCTTTTTTTTTCTTTAAATAAATTTCTTTGTTTGAGTTTAGAGAGAGAGAATATAAATCTGTGATGTAATGTGACTTCTTGGGTTTAGTTTTGTGTTTTGTTCATCATTCAGGAATCTTTTTCTGAACTCTGTTGAATTTTTGCCTATTTTCATAAATTATTGCATGATCACTACTGAACAATTTCTCGTAATTTGTCTCTTTAATAATCTCTACTGTAGTTTTGTAATATTTATTTCTTGTTGGGGCATTGATTTTGATTGACTAACAAAGGAAATGAAATGAAAATGAAGATGGTAATGTGGTGTTTTTGTTGAGGATAAATATAGATGTTGTGTAAAGCAAATATTTTTTATTGGGGTCCTCATTGCTTCGAGCCAATCCAGAAACTTATTAGATTGAATGTGGCTTGGCTTTGTGTGAGTTTGTGTTTTTCTACAGCGAGTTATATTCATCAAAATGAAGGGTTGTGTTAGGTAGTCGGCAGATTTTTGTTGAATAATCAGTTCTTACCTTTTAATAGGATAAAAGGTTTGTAGTTGTTTTTGTTATTACTATGATTTTCTTTTTATAGCTGGGCAGTGTGAGCATGAAAACAAACTACAAGTCAAATTACAAATCTCTCAAAAAGTATTTTACACGTATTCATCTTCTAATCAAATATCTAAAATCTCAAGTCCTATACTTCTAAATTACTCTATACTCCTAATGCTTGAAACCAAATAGCCCCAAAGAATTTATAACAAAATAAACTTTTATATTACTTGGTATGATGCATCATGTGCACATCTGTAAAAACTGTACTTAATTTTTTTTTCTTTTTTCTGAAAAATGGACAGTTCTCATGTAAAAATATTTTTTTCCTAAGAAAATGTACATAATTTCCCAAAATAAATAAATAGTCTAAAAATTAAAAAATAGGCAGCTTAGTCCACAGATATTTGAGCTAAATACATGAGAATTGTGTGGTATGCATGCAAAACATAGGTTTATTTGATTAGGATTGAGTGAAAGCTGCTGCTTTGTTACAGTTTTGCATGCGAGAAGGGGAATCGAGAGGGAGGATGAGCACCACGAAGAGGTTCGGCGGCGGGCGACAGCTGACGGGCACGCCGTCGCTAGCCTGGTCTTGTGCAGTGGTAATCGCGTCCCTCTTCGCCGGTGCCTCCGTAGTCCACAACATATACAAACCCAACCTGGTTCGTAAAACCTACGCTTCTTCCCCCTTCATTCCGATGATATTTATCTCAAAGTGCACATAACCTGCTCGACGATATGCCAAGCTTAACATGCTCATGTTTTGAACCGCAGACCTTACCGACGGTGGAGCCTAAGGACAAATCTCCTACGCATGGTTGAGCCACCAATCGGTCAACATATTTTCCGCCGTCTTGGTTTCACATTTGCCTTTTTTTTTTTTTCTAATTTTCTTCTTCTTTTTTGTAATTTAATGGTGACAAAATTCCACCTTTTGTCTAATTTGAGAACATTTTTTACCGTCCTGGTTGTTCCATCAGCCTCGGACGAATTGATGTTGGTCTTCATATTTTGTGAGACGGTTCATTTGTTTTGGATCTGATGAAAACATCCAATAAATAAAAAATAGAAAATAAAAAGGGGAGAAGAAGAAGAAGGAAAAGCGCCACAACATTCAAGTTGTTCCACAAAATTCCATTAGCTTGTAATACATCTTTTAATCCCAGTCCTAGGAAGATTTTTAAGTTTCTGTCCAGCTAAAGTTTGCAATTTTAATCCTTGATCTCCTATGCATTTAGTTCATCTTAGCAGAGTCTTCGATCCGATTGGCTTCTCCCAATCGAAGTGCTTGTACTCGTCGTTGTGTTCCAGTGGCTGCTGAGTTATGCACGTAACGGCAAAGATTACTTAATACGTGGTTTTGAATTACTGAGATGCCAATTTTAAAAAGATTAGAGAGAACGTTAATTCTGCCCTAATCTATGATTACTATAAAAAAAAAACTTTGCTGTGAGCTTCACATTTTCCTTGTTCGGATATTATTAGTATTTAAAAATGGAAAATAATATTTTAGGCTTTCATAAAAGAAATTAAGTACTACTGCCCTAACATTTCATTATACTGTTCAGTTCATCAAACATCTGAAACGACGGCAAAAATGTTTAAATTGGGGAGCATTCATCAGAGAGCTTTTGCTGTAACCAGGGGTGTAAAAGAGCCACGATTACAGTTTGTGTTACATGAACAAATCATTTCGACATGTTTATATTAATATATTTATTTAAATGGAATTTTTTATTTTAAATTTTTTTAAAAAATAATTTTAATTTATTATAAATTCTTATAACCTTATAGTTTATTAAATTATTTAAAAATAATATTTATTCTCATATATATATATATATATATATAATTATTTCAAATCAAGCAATACGCCAACCAACATACTTTTTTATGTTCTGCTCTATCAGCTAGTTTGTTTAAAGAACGAATTGATTACAACTATTTAACAAGGGTAACCGCGAACGACGAGCAGTTTTGACTGCCTTAGCTGTAGCTAAGTTTTTGGATTTTTGTATTAAAACCACTTGGAAATACACAGCAATAAATATGTCGTTAAATGAAGTAAATTGCTCAAAAGTAACCAGCATATAAAATGGAAAAAGATTATTTTTTCCCCCCACAACAAGCAATACAAAGAAGCAACCACCACCTTCCAGAAAATTTCTCCCATAAATTTGAATTGGATATTTGATTTGATATAAAACTATCGAGTTCCTCTGGATCCAGATAACAAATACTCCATTAAATATCATATTATCATAAATCACATTGCCTGCTACTTTCTTCTCAAACCAGCCGCTCAGGCACACACTCCCCAAAATATTGCAATTACACAAGTTTCAGATGGAGTAGATATAGAAGATAATAAAGCAGAAATCCATAACATTACTAAAATATGGTAAAACACAAAACGATATAACCATAGAATAAAAATTGTCAAAGACGAGCAAACACGGCCTAAACTTTAGGCCGTGCACAACAAACACCTAATATCAAGTTTTTCAAAAGGAAGAGACACGAGAACAAATGAAAATAAGTCTGCAGTAAAGTGAATCCAAACAAGTTGCGATATAACTATAAGTTTAAAATTTTAATCGACCTCTTCAATCTTGGGACCAGCACCACTACCACCACCAGTTGGAATATCATCAGACATTCCACCCATATCAGGTCCAGCTCCCTGGTACATCTTGGCAATGATGGGGTTGCAGATGCCCTCCAATTCCTTCATCTTGTCATCAAACTCATCAGCCTCCGCCAACTGATTACTTTCAAGCCACTGGATGGCCTGATCAATCGCATCTTCAATCTTCTTCTTGTCATCAGAAGCAAGCTTCGAGGCAATCTTCTCATCCTTGATGGTGTTCCTCATGTTGTAAGCATAATTCTCCAATGTGTTTTTGGCCTCCACCTTCTTCTTGTGTTCCTCATCCTCAGATTTATACTTCTCCGCTTCCTGAACCATCTTCTCAATCTCTTCCTTGCTCAGCCGGCCCTTGTCATTGGTGATTGTGATCTTATTCTTCTGCCCAGTTGTTTTATCCTCAGCAGAAACATTCAGAATACCATTAGCATCAATGTCGAAGCAAACAGTAATCTGAGGAACACCCCTGGGAGCAGGTGGTATGCCAGAGAGCTCAAATTTGCCGAGCAGATTGTTGTCCCTTGTTCTAGTCCTCTCACCTTCATATACCTGGATCAAGACACCAGGCTGATTGTCTGAGTAGGTCGAGAAGACCTGCTCCTTCTTGGTAGGGATGGTGGTGTTCCTTGGAATCAAGACTGTCATGACACCACCAGCAGTCTCGAGACCAAGAGAGAGAGGAGTCACATCGAGCAGGAGGAGGTCCTGAACCTTCTCGTTGCCCTCACCGCTCAAAATGGCAGCTTGGACAGCGGCACCATAGGCAACAGCCTCATCGGGATTGATGCTCTTGCAGAGCTCCTTCCCATTGAAGAAGTCCTGCAACAGCTGCTGCACCTTTGGAATCCTAGTGGATCCTCCAACCAAAACCACATCATGAACAGTGCTCTTATCCATCTTTGCATCCCTCAAGCACTTCTCCACAGGTTCCATGCACTTCCTGAATAGATCCATGTTAAGCTCCTCGAACCTGGCACGAGTGATGGTGGTGTAGAAATCAATGCCCTCGTATAGAGAATCAATTTCGATGGTGGTTTGAGCAGTCGAAGATAGAGTTCTCTTTGCTCTTTCACAAGCAGTCCTCAATCTCCTAAGAGCTCTGGGATTGTTGCTGATATCTTTCTTATTTTTCCTCTTAAATTCCTGAACAAAGTGGTTAACCATGCGATTGTCAAAATCCTCACCACCAAGATGAGTGTCTCCTGCAGTTGCCTTGACTTCAAAAATACCCTCTTCGATGGTGAGGAGAGAGACATCGAAAGTCCCACCGCCCAAGTCGAAAATGAGAACATTTTTCTCACCTACGCTGGAAGCCTTTTTGTCAAGGCCATAGGCGATGGCAGCAGCAGTCGGCTCATTGATTATTCTCATAACATTAAGACCGGCAATGACACCAGCATCCTTTGTGGCTTGGCGCTGCGAGTCATTGAAGTATGCGGGAACAGTGACAACAGCGTTCTTTACAGAGGATCCTAAATAGGCCTCAGCAATCTCACGCATCTTAATTAGAACCATTGATGAGATTTCTTCAGCTGCAAACTGCTTTTCTTCTCTTTTCTTCTCCCTTGTACTGGATTGTACTGGACAACAATCATGGGCTTGTCTCCAGGTCCAGGAATAACTTTGAAGGGCCAAAGCTTGATATCACTCTGTACTGAAGCATCAGTATACCGCCTACCAATCAATCGCTTGGCATCTGCAAAAAACAGAGGAATTGCTTAGAAAAGTCCTATGATAGAACATATGAGAGGTCCTTCACAATAAAAAATATTGTAGTAGAAAAGGGTACCTAACTATCATACTGGAGACAATACTATCAAAATTCTAACAAATAACATGATAGCTCAAACATGCCAATACAAATCAAAAGCCACAGCAGGAACCTCTTCAATATGCATGGTCCACTCAAGAGCACTTTTGCATTGGTTTATTTTCAGTTATAATGCTCATTATCACAACAAAAAAAGAGCCACTAAACTCTTTGGAAAAATTCTTGCATTATTATGCTTAGGATTTATAGATCGGTAATCCGACAAAGGCGGGAGGAATAGGCCGTTCAGCAAATAACGATGTAACTTTATTTGGGGGCACAAATGAGCGGTGCAATCCATTTCTTCAATATTAAGATAGTAAAAATTTTAGACTTTCTAAATATAAGGGTGTAAACAGAATATGCTTGAGCAACAGTCGCATGTCGTGTTCAGCTCATGTTTAAAATTACTAGAATTCCTTATTTGATTTTGAATTGTGTTGACATAATTGAGTTTGTTCAGCTTAAATTTAGTTCTAAAGGAAAAAAAAAACAACTATATTCAATTATATTTAACTCATTCTATTCTAAAAAAAAAAGTATAAAATATAACTTTTTATTAGCTTTTTATTCTTTTTTATTTTCATTTCCTATTAATAGTGTTTGTCTATAATTTCATTTGCATGGATGTAGAGTGGATTTGGGAAAAGCTTAGCTATTTTTATAAGCAGCTGTGAAACTATTTTAAAATAAATTGTTGCTAGAAAGAAGTAGATCGTGAAGGTGAAGCAGTTGGATAGATTTACTATGCTGCAATCGTTTCTGATAATAAAAACTATAATACTCTTATGTACACGTGTTAGTTGTAACTCCTTAGTCTTAGAAATAATTCAAACAGATTAAGAAAAATAAATGTCATAAGTTCAAGAGTCATAAATTTATTATTTTATCATAGGAAGTAATACATCACTTAAGACTGAAAAACAAGGAAATAAAAATTATAACAAGTATTTGCTATTATGAAATTACTCTTCATATCTAAATAATCAAGTAGGCTCCACACAGTTAAGAAAACACAAGGTAGGAAATAAACCCGCAAAAATAGCAACAATAACGATCAAACCATCAAAGAAAAGAAAAAACCACCTATAAACATAAGCAGACAAAAATAAAACCTTCGAACACACACAATCAAATAACCATACAAGCAACAACAAAACCAACATTGCCACAAAAATAACCAAGGGGTTTCAAATCAAAACCCCCTAAACCAAAAAAACAAAAATCTCACAAACCATGGGGGATCACATTTAGACCACAAAAACCACATAAAAATGCCCAAACCAAGGGAATTAGATCAGAAACCAAGGACAATCAATGAGAGAGAAGGATGCAGGGTAGTTTTAGAGCTTGAAACTGCAGACCGCAATAAGGGAATAAAGGTCGCAAAACAGCCTAAAATTAGGATTGAACTTGTAAACATGACTCTAGACAAAATACCATCCACTTAGCACGATGTCTTTTCAAGTTTCATCTTACTATTTATTATTAATAAAAGATAGAATTTTTATCTTCATTTCGATTTTGAGTGATTGAACTTGTAAACATGGCTCACATAAGTTCTTATAGGATAGTAAGGCAATGAGCGTATTTTGATTCTTAAAAAAATTAATAATTTTAAACATAATAAATTATAATCCCTATTTGTTAGCTGTGATTAATTTATTGTCAAAGGTTTTGAGATTTAAGGATATTAAAGTGACACTAAAATTGCCAGTACAAAACCCCGAATGTGAGAAGTGAATAATTGCGTTGGGTAGTCGATAACCAACGTAAAATTAGTCAAAAAAAACATGATGTGAATCCTTTTGATCATTGTCTAAATGTTAGACATCTCATGAAAACAACGCGCTGTATGATTTAAATACTGTAAAAATTGTGTAAGAGCCGTCACACCAGCCCCTAGATATAGTGTCAAGTAAGCAAGAATTCCCACATTACGAACGAATGCTTGTAAAAAAGTTAATTTATAAAACAAATATTAGAATATGATCTTAAAATATATACTCTCACTGGTGCATTAGTTGAATTTATTGATATTATGATTGATAAAAAAATAAATATCTCATATATACAAGAAACTAAATCGGTCAGAAAAAATGCCGAGGAGATTGATAACTTGAGTTCTAAACTTTGATATTCAAGTGAGAGTCGCACTAGAAATGAAATATGTCTAATTATAGATACGAATTTGAAAATACTATTATAAAACTAAATAGAATTGGTAATAGAATTATATCATTTAAAATTATTATTGATAGTAAGATTTTTAATATTATAAGTGCATATGTTCCTCAAATAAATTTAGGTATAAGTTCTAAAGATAAATTCTGGAATCACTTATAAGAATTAAAATAAATGATACTTCTTGAAGAAAATTTTTATTAAATTTATTCAAGTTTTCAAAATTTAGGAAGTTCGTAAAAAGCAAATTTTAATTGTGATAAAGTAACAAACACTTTTAAAAAGTAACAAAAGAAATACTTCGCGTAAAATAATAATGTACAAGAGAAGATAAAATAAAAGAAGCAATATTATAAAAAATTGGTTCAAATGTAAATGTTTAAAGAATTGATAAAAAATATCAAACGACACGTAAGAAGTCCAAAAGAACAATCTGTGACATTAAAAATTCTGCATTTAATCATCTTCAGAATATATTAAAAATTAAGGGTTAAAAATACATGTATAAGCTAACCAAATAAAAAGAAAATCAAAATAATAACTTAATTAAATGTAAAGATGAAAATAAAAAATTGCTTTTCTTAAAAAAAATACAACTTAGGCTCGTGAGTTATTTTGATAAATTTTTTTGATCAAGTTTTCAAAATACGATCAACCTAGTGATCTTAATATCATTAGTAATAATAAAATATTTCATTTTTACCCTCTCATTAATAATAAAAAGTTCAGAAAGTTTTAAAAAACCAAAAGTGAAGTCGGTAGAACCTAATAATATCCAAATTGAAGTGCTATTTGAACACAAGTTAAGACGTATTACAAAGATTCCTCATAATATCAGGTCTACTATGGAAATACAATTATTGAGAGGTTCGATGACAAAGAAAAAAAGAATAAAATTTATGTATAATTTTTACTGATTTAGAAAAAGCATACAATAAGGTTCCAAGAGATGCTCTTTGGAAAGTTCTTCATAAGAAAGGTGTTGATGACTTATATTCAAGTTCTTAAAGATATGCATAGAAGAGATGTTACTTGTGTTCGAACAGAAGGAGAATTGACCAAATATTTTCCAATTTCTCTTAGATTAAAGGAGAATTTGCCTTGGCGAACGCTTTTTGTTGATGATATCCTTTTCATGAATAAAACAATAAAGAAAACTCAAGAAAAACTTTGAATTATGAAAGTCTACATTGAAGTTTAAAAAATTTTGTTTGAGTAGAACTAAAAATGAATATAACAAATGTAATTATAGTTGTAGTACATCTAGTGAGAATTATAACCATGGGCGATCAAATTATTAGAACTTTTTAGATATCACAGCTCTATTGCTCAAAGTGATGGAGATATAGGTGGGAATGTTATTAGTAGAAATCAACTTGGTTGATTGAAGTGGAGGAATGCTTCTCGCCTATTGTGTTATGGAAAAGTACCTTTTAGACTGATAGGAAAATTTACAAGATGGTGGTGAGACCTTTAATACTTTATGGCCTGGATTTTGGCTTTTAAAAAAGAAGCATAAAAATAAGTTAAGTTTTGTAGAAATTAAATCGGTTAGGTCGATGAGTGGCTTTATACTTGGAGACAAAATGTGAAAAGAATAGATTTGTGATAAGATTGGCGTAGCTCCAATGAAGAACAAAATTAGAGAAAGTCGTCTTAAATGATTTGGTTACATTAAACGTCGATCATCTGATGATCTAATGAGAAGAGTAGACATTTTAGATTCGACTTATGTTAAGAAAGACAAGGATAGACCTAGGAAGACTTGAGCATATTGTATAAAAAATGATCTTAATTCATTAGAATTAAATAAAAATATGACAGTAATTAGATGCAATAGAGAAAAAGGATTCATATAGTTGACGTCACTTAGTGAGATAAAGGTTTTGTTATTATTGTTGCTGTATTATTAAATTAATATGATTAAACTCGACAAAGATAATTAAAATTATAAACATTCTCAAATTGTACCCTACTTAATAATTTATATCAATTAGAATTTGAGAATAAGAATACATGTTAACATTGATAATATATTAGACCTCTACTCAATTAATTCTTAATAACATTTATTCAAAATAGCAAAAAAAAAGTGTGATATTTTTCAATTTAAATACAAAATATAATTTAAAATATAAATGCATATAAAATAAATGCAATTTCTTTCTATTTTTATTTCAATTGAATAGTTTGTTAATACTTGCTTATATTATTTGATTGCAAGACATTTAATAATTTCTACATTATTTTATTTATTTCACATAAACTAGCATGGTGGTTATTTCAAAATTATTCAATTATTTATTTATCTAGCTTTATAAATTATCTGTTGACAACTTTGTATTAAAAATCAAATATCCATTCAAAAGTTTAACAAGTTTACTATCTTTATATAAAAGATTCAAGCGCAAACACCCATTCAAAATCTAGCTTATTCATTAATGCAAACAAGCTAAGCACAGTTCAATATTATCATAAAAAAACATTTTAAGCAAACCAAATATGAACATAAATGTGATAGCTTGGAGCAAGCTCAAATTGAACATGAACAAATTAAGATTTGTACAAGTCATGTCCAATCCATGATATACTAAATTGAACTAGGCCAGATTACAACCCCAATTAACTTTAATCTTGAAATAAATAGCCAAACAGTTTCCCAAAATTTAATCAAATTTATCCTCTATAATATCAGATATTTTGCAAAATCTAACTGATAAACCTACTAGGAGCAAAAAAAATTCTTAATAAAAACGGATAAACAATGATGTAACCGCTTTCAAACAAATCATTAGAACAAAAAACTTATCAAGCATCAGATCTAACTTAGACATCATAAAGATCCACAACCAAATAACGATTGACTACTATGTTTACTAGACATAGCAGATCACGGTTATGGGATATGATCCATTCCTTGAAATTAATAAACAAGTGATCTATTAAACAAGAGACAAATTACACCCTGCAGACTAGAATAAAAAAAAAATATTTAGTTAGATTATAAAAGAATTAAAGTAAATTATTTACAGATCGATCAAACAAAAGCCCTTTTAAGCCTCCTAAACAATATATGGAGCATCTGAAACCTCATAAAACGAGCATGTTATAAGATACTTAAATAGACAAGAAATTACGAGATCATGTTAAGAAATCAACTACTTCTCCACACATGAACAAGTAACATAGATAAACATAGTTAAAAAAATAAAAACCATAAAAAATCAAAGTAGATAGTGGGGCTTACCAAAGACGGTGTTGATGGGATTCATAGCGACCTGATTCTTGGCAGCATCGCCGATCAGCCGCTCGGTGTCGGTGAACGCAACATACGACGGGGTCGTACGGTTACCTTGGTCGTTTGCGATGATTTCGACCCGATCGTGCTGCCATACTCCGACGCAAGAGTACGTTGTACCTAGATCAATACCAATCGCAGGGCCCTCACCCTTTCCGGCCATATCTAGAGGATTGAGAGCTGAGAGCAGAGAAAATAAAAGAGAGAGGGAGATGTTGCGACGGCAGCTAGTTAGGGTTTCAGAATGAGGTCTACAGAGGAAGAGAAACGGGAGGTGGAAAGATCTTATATAGGATCGAGTATCTCTAGAATGTTCTGACTGTTAGAGGCATTAACATCCACACCATCAAAGTTATACGTATTGACAGATACAACCCATTTTTTGGGGCTATTTTAAATATAACATTATAATTATCTAAATTTAAAAATTTATATTATAAGCATCCTTTTTTTTTTTTTTGAAACAGAAGATATTAATTCATTCTATTTAAAATTTTAAAATTTCAAATATTTTTTAGATGATTAAAAAGAAAAAAAATTAAATATAAATGGCCAATCTATTATATTTAAAATTTTAAGTAATTGATCGCTGAAAATTCTTTTTTTTTATCCAATTCAAATCTTTCATTATAATATGATCAATCACAGAATATTATGGCATGGAATAAAAATTCCAATTTACCGGTCATTTAAATTAAAAGAAATCATTTTTACATGAATATAAATATAAAATGAACATTTTGTATTGAGAATTTATGAAGAGATAGATAGTTTTATTAGTTATGTAAATAAAATATTTTATTTCAAAATAAAATTTTGATTTATTTAAAATAACCCAAGCACCCTCTTTTTCCTGGAAAAAAATTTGCGTATGTAACAGCTACGCAACACTGGGTACTTCGGGGTTACATAGAGGATACAAATGTTATATCTGCATTATACCCTCTGCAATCTTCTCATAACCTACATGTAATCTATCTATAACCTACAAATATATAAAAACAAAACCGTAAAACTGAATAGAAGATAAATGTAAATTATAGAAATATTACAGATGATATAACACGGATAAAACCATCCTGTACACTCTCTATAACCATGACGTATGCAGCGCTACATACGTAAGACGTATTCAACATTTTTCCCTTTTTCCTATACTTAAAAATAACATACTTGCAAATCTCATATTAAGCACGCTACAAAATTTTATTCGTCCTCCAATCAGGACCCCAACTCTATTACACCAACCCTTTATCGACAACCAAATCGTACGGTCCAAAATTAGCACGGGTTTGTAGATCCAACGGTGGATTTCCATCAGAAATTTCTAGAAAGGGAATCACCGCAATTGCAAGGCCGACGTACTCTCGATCGGTCAAGCATTTTATGTTTGACTTTACAAATTTTCAATGTTTATATATTTAAAATTAAAAATAAATACAAAATAAAAAAAAAATGGTCGCACATGGCACCTCAAATTAGAGCGCCTAAAATCTCTGATTTAAAATTCCTAATCACGGTGGAATAAATTTTTAAATCTCACTTTTAATCAGATTTATTAAATTTAAATTTACATTCTTAAAAAGACTAAAAACGGGAAAAATAGATAGAACCTGAAGAGATCAATTTAACATTGCATTGAATTTATGTTTCATTTTTTCCTTTATATTTGGTTGGATTTAAGTTAAATCCAACGACTAAATTCATTAATAAGATGCTACTAAACATCGCTTAAAGTTGGAAAAAAATATTACATCTATACTCAAATGCAAAATTTACGTCTGGATTCCACTGAGAGGACTCACTCATCCGAAAAACCTACCCAACCAGTGTATTATAGTGATGCCCACTTACCACATAGCAGACTACGAGTTTGGATGTAATATTTTCTCCTAAAGCTAAATATTAAAGTTTCATTTGAAGGAGCTCCACAGCAGAGAGAAATAATGCCATCTTTGCGTCCAGAAGGAACTGAGGTTAGCGAAGCCTAACAAAGACCGCTGTAGCTCCGAACGCTCTGAAGAACCTCTTCTTCCAAACCAACGAGTAAATTACAGAAAGCTTCGAGATCAGCTGCCTCTTCCTTAAATGAGAACCTCAATTCCTTCCAGACATAATGCGGGCACTGGGCATTGCTTCCCATGGATTCGGCCACCTTAGCAAGCACATCGAAACCGTATTCATCAATCGACAACATTAAAGCATCCTGCAACCAAAATATTGAAGTTCATCAGAAACTAATTAAGGCTATTTACAAGCTTTCTTTGTTCTTAAGAAAATAACCAAAATACTATACATGAGATTTTATTTTTACTTCAAATGGTAAAGCATGGCAGCGGTTTTATTAACCAAAATGATAATAGGTTATACAAAATTATCGATGTATAAATAAATTCATTAACAGTTATAAAATATAAAGTATAACGTGCAAATAAAAATCTCAAACAACTTCTAATAGTTTACTGTAATAATTAAAAGTTTAAAAAATTTCAAAAATAACCTGCAAATTAACTTCAACATTTAAGCGGCCTTCATACGGTGCAATTTGCTTTGCTCGGGAAGCTCGCTTTTAAAAATATTAGTTTGCATTGTACTTAACTATGAGCAAAATAAAATTAGTACGTGCTAAAGAATAAGGACTTACACGTGCATGTGCATTGTAATATTCCAAACAGAAAAGCATCAATGCTCGGCGCCTTGTCTGACTTTGATTTATCCCATCAATCAGCTTTTCAGCAAATGGAACTGCACAACATATTAACATTTAACTTTCAACTTTACAGTAACTTCATGGGAGCACTACGGTCTAATGATCGCCTTTAAAGAAAACTTGAATTCAAGGAGTTGCTACTAAGTAGGATATTCACTTTCTTTTGCTTTTCTAGGCAACCAAGTACGCAATAAACTTTGAATGAAGGGGCGTTTACATGCATACCATAAAATTCTCATGAATTTACATATCTAACACCTACACTTCAATTTTTACATTTCCAGCACTAAAATCTTTCTTATCACATAAAAAATACCAAAATGTCAAACTTCTTAAAAGTGAAATACCTCTTTTCTATACACCTTTTGATGCAAAAGAAAAGAGGTATTCATGAAAAAGTCAAAATTTAGGTGTTAGAAAGATATTTACATAGGAATTATGTGGCAAGTATGCAAATCTTCCTTAGTTTTATTAACAGAGAGCTAATCATGAGTATGAGTTCAGATCTACTTAATGCAAATCTTACACAAAAGATCTGCTTTGGGTGCTTGAACATCCTGAACTTCCACATCATGAATATTTCCACTGCCATCAACATAGCTGCATGAACTGCAGTTTTAAATTGCAACATTGGTTATGATTCAAAGATTATAATTAGCAAGGCCAGACAAGTTTGAAGCTTGCCTAGGCCACATGACAGATTTAGATGATGTTCAGATTTTAGTAGAGGCTTAGAAGTACTACAAAGGCAAAAGTAGTTTCTTATGTACAATATATAAATAAGCTGAGGAATTTTGACTTGTTTCCCATGATTTCGTATATTTATTGAAGTTGAAAAGAAAAATTATTTTGATGCTAATCTATTGATGCAAACTTGGAAGAATTCCCTTCAAAATTAACCATTTATTTCTCTAAAACTGAATCGAATTCCAATTGAATTTGATTTCTTTCGGTCAATTGACATTCAATATAGCGTGCATATTATAAGAACGCTCACTAGAAAAAAGAAAAATGTTGGAAGTTCAAGGCGAACCACAAAGCCCAAGCCGAACAACATTGTCATGGCATATAAAAGAAGAAAAAGACATACATATGGAACACCAGAAAAAATTATAACACAAAAAAAATCACAGATTATGTACCATTAAGGAAAAAAAGAAAAACAAAATATAAAAACTTGTTGGTGTCACTAATAATGGCTCTTAAGAGCAAAGTTTAAAAATGTGCAATTGAGAATTGAGATGTTTTTGGTCCGCCTGACAAGGGATAAGCCTCCATATGTATTGAGGAGTAATCCTTAAAGTTAACAAATGGCAAAAAAAAAAACTATTGTACCTAGTTCAAAGCATGTAATAAGAAGAAAAATATTAGCAACCTAACCTATTAATAGATTAAAATATAACATATTAACATACAAATAACAAATCATAAAATAAGAAGAGTTAGATAAATGTAAAAGTCCATAATAATATAAAAATTCAAAATAAGTTCGACAACATAAATATCCACACTCTTATTATTATCCATCAAAGTAAGAGCATAACTAGTCAAAAATATCAAAATTTCTAAATTAAAAAAATTTCATCACTTATTACTACTTAGTGACCTTTCATTAGAATCAATAGCATAACGATTTACTCTCCCTCGCCTCATCCTTACTTGTATCTATGTTGTCTCACTTCTCCTCATCTTAAATCTCAATCATCTTTATTTTATTTATTCAAAGTTAAATAACAAAAATATTTATTAGATTTTAAAGCAGGAACTATGTTGATAGTTGCAACTTCAACTACATCCTCAGCTGTATATTATATGACTGCGTAATAAATGTTTATTAGGATTATTTGACTTGTACTTATTTTTAGAAAAATCATAGAACAAATTATGTATGCCTCACCAGTATTAAGAAAAAATGGGCCTTAACATTATATGAGGTGGCCTTATGTAGCACACCGAGACATAAGCGTCATTGCAAATTTTTCAAAAAAAGGTTGAGTTGGACCTCAAGACAAACCTCATATTGCACAATTTTAAACTGTGCTTATGATAGGCACTAGCTATTTTGCATTCCTGGATATTATCTTCTCTTCTCTTACTTCTAAAGTCTTAGAAATACCCAATCCTAGCCTATTAATTATTTATTCACAAGATACAAATCATATACCAACTCTTCGTACAAGTTTATTTCATATGCTTTCTATAATAGCAACAAGAAAATAACTATTGCCGATAAATCCTACCTAGTTATTAGTAGCTAAGGAGACAATCTTACACCTAGAGTAACGTTGCACCTAAGATTTTTGGAAGGGTTGCCTGATACGAACCCACAAAAAAGAGAAAAACTTGATTCAAGAGCAATTAAATGTGATTTTATTAACTACTCCCTAAAAAAGGATAGAAATGATAACATTCACCCATCATAAAAAATTATGTATCTGATAGTGCCACTTTAGACGAGAGGACATCTACTTTGTTACTAATCACTTCAAGAAAAAAAGCTATGATTCGCAAATGAAAATTCTCTCTTAAAACGCCCTTCCTTAGCTTTTAACCTGGCAAATAACTATATCCTTGAACCATCTACTCACACACAAAACCAACTTATACTAGAACCAGTTTTTGCTCAATCATTACAAGCTTATGCAAAAATGAATGAATCTCAATTGAAGCAAATCCAATCGACCAAATCAATCCCTGAAGCTGAACATGTTGAGGGAACCACTGAACCTACAAACAATGGTACTTCAACTGAATATTCCTTCTAATCATATCAAAATCCTTCTCACCATCACCAATGCCAAGCCATTGTTCCCCTATTGGCGGTAAGTCTTTCTCTCTAAGGTAGCTCAAATTGAAAGTCATCACATATGATTATCGTCACAGAACATTAAAGCATCAATAGAGAAAACTCTCATGATCATAATTATTTAATTATAAGATTACTCTCAAGGGAAGCATTGAATAAGGAATATAACGTCCTCTACGAAGACATAATCTCCTAATTTTATTTATCTAAAATCCAACTTGTCTCCATAAAAAAACAGTCCAAAAGAACACATATATACAACAAAACCAGAGAAATTTTTAAGAGGCCATAATGTCAGCAAGAAAGTTAAAATGGGACCAAAATTGGGCTAAAAAAACTAAAGTTAAACCTGTTTTTAGCCCAAAATTTTGGGTCAAAAGCAAATAAAGATAACAAAGTGATATACAAACAAATAATATTTTGAGACAATAATTTTAAATCCAATCATATATCAAAATATGCTATAATCACATTGTTTAAAGTTGTTAAATTGGTCGTACAATTAATCTCTATAATCACTAAGGCCCTATTTGGGGCAGCTTATAAGTGTGGGCGGCGTTTTGAAAACGCCGCTACAGTGTTTGGTTCGCGCTTATGCTGGGATTATCGAAACCGGCGTTTTCAAATTTGTAAAGGACGCGGACCGCGGGACGACCCCTGTGGTCCGCGTTTTCGAGCTTGATATTTACCCCCGTGACCCTCACGGTGGTGATGGAGCCGACGAAACCGTAAACTTCCGAGGGTTTCATGTCGTGCTCGGCGGTGAATCCTGCCATAGCCGCCGGCGACTTCTCTTCCTCTCCTCCTGATCGGAGGAGAATGTTGAAGATCGTCTCTCCCTCATTAAGCTCAGCGTCCTCCTAGGGCTGCTCACCACCAGAGAAGTTGGAGACGATAGTGGTGACTCCATTTCCTCTCTACTCTTTATTTCCTTCAACCTCGAAGACAGGATTAGGGAAGAAGGCGGGAGAGACGAAGAATCTTGCGAACTGCTCAAGGACTCCATTTTTGCGAGGAAAAAATGCTTAGCTTGTAAAAATTAAAATTTAAACTTAGAACTTAAGTGAATGATCTTAATTAAAATTTAAACTTATCTCATCAAAATTTAAACTTAATTAAAATTTAAACTTAATTAAAATTTAAACTTATCTCATCAAAAGTAATGCCGTTTTAACTTATAAAAAGTGAAATAAATTTCATGCATAAAAATTATTATATTTATTTTATTTGAATTTCTATGATAGCTTACAAATTAAATTCATTTTTAATTAAAATTGAAATGATAATTAATAAGCAATTAATAAGCTAAAAATCTCATAGAATGAAAATGTAGTATTTAAATAAAATCATAACTTGATTTGAACTCTAATTAAATTTCATTATAATAGGAATTTTTGAGTTATAAAAATCTGTGAATAAGTTGTTTACAAAACACCATAAACAAATAGCTAAACAGCTTATCCAGAACAGGGGCAGAGTAGTCATTTCTCCAGAATCAGTTGTTCTCAAAACGTACTAACCAAACAACCAGACAGATTATCCGGATCAGTTGTCCATCAGCAGATTATCAAGATAAGCTGCTTATCAGCAGAAGCTGGATAAGCTGCAGCTGCCCCAAACAGACCCTAAATGACAAAGGAGTCTTTCAAGTTTATTTTTCAAATCAAATTATTGAGAGTTTGTTTCACTTCCAACATTTTACTAAGAAATTCAAGCATGCCTTTTAACAAATTCAACCATTAGGAATTAATCATATTATAAATTTCAAAGAAAAATTCCAACCTACAGATTTAATTTGAAAATTCACTAAGACATAGACCCCAAAAACCCCTATTTATTAATACAAGTTCTATTTAAATAACAGAATCATTAGACGCAATTGATGGCCTTATCCTGAAAATTTAGAAACTTTAAACTCCCACAGCATGGCACAAAGGAATCACAAGTGTGAAGAAGCTACAATACCAGATTTTTGTAACAAGGAGATCCCGTAACAGCAGATAGAAAGAATTAATCTCTAAAATTTTAAACTGATGATATTCTTAAAACAAAATGTTATGGTATCAAACAGAAAAAGCTTTTTTTCCACTTTAGATCAATCTCCGTCATGACGGTTGAATGTGTCCCCTGAAAGAAATGGTTCAACATGTACAGCATGACATATTGAGTACAAAATCAAGAATGGATTCAGTGATTTGTTAACCTTCTGCTATAATCTGAATCTAAGAAATGAATTTTAAGCTCCACTTTAAATTAATCTGTCATGCCAACAAATAAATCAAATCAAAATAATAATAAAAACAATTTCAAAATTAAACACATTATTATAGCCTATTTCCAACTGATAAATCAAAATCAAAATTTCTCAGGTAAGCAAAATATTGCAGCCTATTTCGAAAACCCCTGGAATTTTTTAGGCTGATACTGACTATTAAAATTTCAAAGATACTATTGACTAAATGCTGTCTCCTTGGCATCTTCTAATATCAAACTCCAAATCATTTTTTTTTTAAGCCATAGAATCTTCTAACGAATCTGAGTCCCTTCCAGGGAATAGGAATTTCTTCTCTGATAGGATTTCAAGGATAAAAATCAATACATCATCCCCATTATGTACTTTCCCTAAGCACAGTTAAATTCATATCCAAGAAAGTTCAGTGGACAAAAAAATGGTAGTCATTTCCTATTGCAAAAGCCATTGCAAAAGTCATTTACCTGATGTTGAATTTATGGGCAACATAGCTACTTTTTTGATCGAGTATTTCCTGGAATGTTTCAATTCTTGATCTGCAATTAATGCTTGCAGAACTTAATATGGTAGAAACTGCATAACTAGAATGGCTGGCGTAGTCTTCCTCTTTCTGCAAATGGTGTCGGAGTCCTTCAGTTAAAGCCTGAACCTGCATAATCATAACCGCTTTTCATGTGTGGACTTCATATATTTACTAATTTTTTTTTTTTAATTTTAGATATTTTGAGCAGCCTTGAGCAGTCTTTAAACCAGCGACTATTAGATATAAAAATATTACAATTTTTGTCTGTCTTTGTATGAAAAGAAAAATAATATAAAACCAATCAAGTAAAAAAACAGCATATTGTTCACTTTCTTCATCTTATTAGTGAAATAAAATACTATCTCATGGTATTGCTAAGAATTGTGAACATAACTGAAGATAAGGTTCTCATCAGTACAACTATAAGTGTGGGAATTCAATCTCAATCAAATCTGCCGCCACAAACTCTACCTGCATCAATTCTTTCTTCATCAATGTTTCATAGTGCCTAACACCCTCCAACATATTCAATTCATGCCACCTCATTATGATCCGTGAATTTATTAGTATCATCTCATCAAACCAGAAACCATTACCGCTAGTCCATAATCATCATTTTGTCACCTTATCAATTTGTGACTATTGTATTTATTATTCCTCGATTTTATATGTTTTTCATTAGAAGCTCTTCCAGGATTGTATAAATATCATACAAATGTTGGAATGAAAATAAATCAACTAATTCTCTCAAATTTTTTCATTGCAAAGGAGCCTTAGATTTTTTGTAGCAATTTTAACTGCAACCATCATTGTTGCATTTGTCCAGAAATTACAAGCATTCATTGTTGCAAGCCCCTTTTTGTCCCTTACACTTTTCTTAGGTGTAACCTTCATAACCGCGGCCTCATTTCTACTCTACGTAACCAATTACTAATGTATTTTTCCTTCACAAACAAAGATTTGTTCGTTTGCGTTCGGCTCGTTTTGGCTAGAAATAATATATATATATATATATATATATATATATATATTTGATGAGTAGTATTTTTAAAAAATTGAATTGAATACAAGGCTACAAAAATTTATAATCACTTAAAATAATTAATTAAAAATATAGGATAAAAATATATTAAATTATATTCAAATGATGTTTTAATATAAATAATAAGATTTAAATCTCACCCAACCCTTAACATCATGCGGATGAATGATTAGGGTTGTCAAAACAACTCTTTGTTCGCGAACAGCTCGTGTTTGACTCGTTTGCATAACGAGCCGAATACGAACAGAATTTTTTTGTTCCAAAAATAAATAAGCCGAACACGAACAGTGGTATTTTTAACGAGCCAAACACGATCTGAGCTTCGGCTCGCTCATGTTAGGCTTGTTTACACCCTTCCTCCTAGGCTTATGCGAGTCCTCTGTTATAAACACGATAAATCCAAACATTAAAAACCAAATTGGCTTTAAAACATTCACATACGTCTCTGATGAATAAAAAAACATGGCATTGAAACAAACACAGCTGAACTTTTCCCTGTGAGAAAAAATAAATCAGAAACTTCAACCACACTAACTAGAACTTTCAAAATCATTTAACGTTGGAAGGGAATGTACGCTCAACAATTGTTTTAGTAATGAATAAACAGTCATTTATAATAATTCTATATAAAGGCAAACTAATCTTCACTTCATGTTCTAAACGATATAAAATGAAACTAGTCAGAAATATTTGAAGTAAATGTGATAGCATAATAAACTAGAAAGTCAAAACTCTCATAAGGAATCACTTATAGCATGCAGGCTATTATAAGTCTTCTGCAACTATCAACTCAGTAAGGTATCCATTGATAAAAAACCTTAGGATGTTAATGATTTAGGACAGGCCAATGTTGCTTTCAACAAGAATACAAAAATAAATATATATATAGAAATGAAGAAATACATTTATATGCATTGCCTTCCCCTAGACTTACTTTGCCATCTTTAAGAGGGATGACATCACCTCCAAGAGCTACCCGAGCTGGTGCCTGCAAAGCAGAAGGGAGGTGAAAAATTATAGTTAACAATATTATCCAAATAAATCATGTTTATACTATAATAAGGACAAGTGCACTTTTACGCTCTCTCTCTCTCTCTCTCTCACACACACACACACACAGAAGTAATCATTAGATATATTAAGAAGAACAAAAATTTAAGATATAGATACGTAAATTAAAACATGTAACCTGGTAAGAAAAATTTTAGCAAATTCTAAGCCAAATACATAAAACAAGGCTGATAGCAATATCATGATTCTGATGATGTTAAATCTAAAAACAGAAAAGGAAGTCAATGATAGACTGCTTGCTCTGAATTTGTTAATTATTGAAGATATTAAATAATTAAATTGAAAGCAAGAGAATTAATTCACCAAATTCAAAAAGCATTAGAGAAGCTTAAGTTAAGTTTATTTTATGGCATTAGAAGTATCAAGGATCATTTGTTGCGACCATTGTTATTAGGAGCACTATGTAGAATCCTTGGAGGAATAAAAAAAGCAGATAACTTCCATGTGAAGGAATTATGATGTCCAAGCTTTGGGACACCAACTTGGAAAAAAATCATTGTGGAGGCAGCAATCAAGAATGATCTCAATGGCAGCAACTCATAATTCCCGTGGATATCCAAATCAAGAATGATCTCAATGGCAGCAACTCATAACTCCCGTGGATATCCAAATATGAAATTTTTGACCATCACATGCTCATTGATACTATGCATTTCCCATATTTCCGTTCTTAATTTTTTTTCTCATTTTTCTCACGCCTTCGTATTCTCTTTATAAAGGTTGTCCCAACTTTGAAACAAGTATGATAATTAAATGTTTTTGTTCTCTCTCTTTTTTAATTTCATCTTGATTTTTAATACGGTATCTGTTAGATGTGGCTCATATACCATATAAGAAGCAGATCCGGGAGCGGAGCAGAGTGAAGCGGAAGCATCTGTCCAATTGGAGGAGTTTTTCGTTATGTGGGTTGGGGGTGCGGGGGCAACCCCCAACGGTACGATACGAGGGTTATTTTGTAATTACATATTGTATTTCAAGGTTATATATATATATACTTGTTTGTAATCCTAAGTCTTATTTTGTATTCTGTACTCCTTTACAAAATTGAAGGAAAAGCCGCCGCTGAAAGGACCTCGCCGCTCTGCTCCCGAGGACGTAGGCATCTTTGCCGAACCTCGTTAGATCTTTGTGTTTTCTTCTGAATTTGTGTCGATTTCTATTTTTCTTTGCCCTAATTTCTCAACAAGTGGTATGATGGTATCAGAGCGAGGTTCTAGGGCAGGGAAGAAAAATTTTGGTGCATGAAAAAGTTCGGCTAGGGCTTTCCAACGATTTCAGCGAATTTGGCAAGATTCTCGATGGTTTGCCGCAGATGGGGCTTCGGTTTCACGAAGAGGCTTTGGTTTTGCGAGCAATTCCCGCGACCACATTTCTGCGACAGGCAAAGGAGATCGACGAACAGGCGATCGCGACCCAGACGAATCGTGGCACTTCGTGACCAAGCGAAGTTCGAGCTTCGATGATTTCACAAAGGGGGCTTCGACGCAGGCAGGGTTTGTGACAAGGGCAGAGCGAATCACCTGTTTCGACGCAGGCAGGGTTTGCGACTCTAGGGCAGAGCAAATCACCTGCTTCGATCTCGACAGGTTGAAACACAAGGGTGAAGCGGACTAGGGTTTGCAAAGGAAGCTTTGATGAATCCAGGAGTTCTCGCTTAAGGATTTGTTCAAAGGAATTTGGGTGAGCAAATCGATATCTGAAACAGAGGAATTGTAGAAAAGTTTGCGGCAGCATTACTTTCAGATAGCAATTTCTGATGCAAAATTCAAAGTGGCGAAGTTTGATGGAACTGGTAACTTTAGACTGTGGCAAACAATGGTGAAAGATTTGTTGACACAACAAGAAATTTCCATGGCTTTGCGTTTTATTCTGTGTTTGTGTCGATTCCTGGAACTAGAAACTTTTCTTCTGTATTTTGAGTCGAGCAAATCGGCAACTGTTAAATCTCTGTGTTTTCTTCTGGATTTGTGTTGATTCCTGTTTTTCTTCGCCCTAATATCTCAACATTATCAAAGACAACTCCCTTAACCCTCATCTCTTTTCTCTATTTTTTTTTTCATGTTGTCTTAAGCCATGATTATGGTTACACACAAAAATGCTCCTGATATACGCTTAATATTCGATCCACTACCAGCTATAAAAGAATCATTCATAGATGTTACAACAATCATGAAGTTTCTTCTCCCATTAAACACTCATTAAGCACAAGTGTATTGCGCTAAACTACTTTTAATAAGTCCAATTAGCTATAATGTAATGAGTACAAGTGTAACACACTAAACTACTTTTAATAAGCCCAATCAACTATAATGTTTATAAAGGAAAAATCATAATTATTATCTCACTGGCGTGGCTATTCCTTGAAAAAATGATCCAAAATTCAAAACATAGAAATCTGAAAATAATATGATAATATACTGGCTATTAAGATCATGAAAAAAAAAGGTCACCATATTTTGTTCTATGACATTGCAGAAGAAATATGGGATGCCAGAAAAGTAACATACTCGAAAAATGAAAATACTATATAGTTACTATAAATTCGAAGGTGCCTTCCAAAATTTTCAATAATGTGATATTTCTATTATTTAATAGTAGAACACACTTAATAAGCATAGGAAGTAACTAGAAATCTTTGAAAAAATAAAATGGGAGTGTCCTGGGAATGCAACTACGTATCAAAAAATATTTAAGAAAACAAAATAACCAATTTCATTTTCGGTCTAAATAAAAATCTTGATGAAGTCTAAAGGTTATTTGTAACTAGGGCTGTAAATGAGACGAGCTTAAGCAAGTTCAGACTTGGCTCGTGTTCAGCTCATTTGAAATTAGCTCGTCTTCGAAATTGCTCGTGAACAGTATGTTTGTGTTCTACTTAATTTACATATTCTTGTTGGTATTTGACCCGTGTTTGATTTGAAATTAGTTGTTAAAATAAATTTTAAAAATTAGATGTAAAGTGTTAAATTCAAACCTACATTAATTTTGTGCACTAGAAGGCACAAAACCACATGTTACATGAGTTATTATAATTTAAACTTGTACATAGATATATAAATGAAAGGAAACTACTACACCAAACTTTTGGGAGCAAATGATTGCAGTATCCATGAAGGGCAAAAGGATGAACAAGTAAAGAAGAAGGGAATGAAAGGAAACTAGTACTAATTCTTCCATTTCCTGGCAAGTACAAATAATACAATTTCAACAAGTTGTAAAATATCAGTGTATTGGTGAAGACGAGCTTTGTCTTGACTTCTTAGGAGGCTACACCTGCACACATACCCTGATGTTAAAGAACTTCAACATGAATTTTAAAATCAACATGCTTATTATATCTAGAATTAACCCCAGTTTGCATGGGAGGGACCCAGAAATTCTCAAAAGATAAGACGGCTCCAACTAGTTCCTTCACACAGAGGTGACCTTGCTGTGCCGTTGCTAGATTAAGAAATGCTCCGAAATTTTTGTTAAAAGTTTTTTTTTCTTGATGTATGCCAAGGTGCTAAAATATTTCAAGGATCATAGAGACAGAAGGATTGGATAAGCCCATACTGAGGCAGAATAATACTCATGTGGGACTTAATATAATAGAGTGTGGCAAAGCTTCCAATCAAATTGGCATTAAATCAAACTCTTGTACTTCAAATGAATTGAGTGAATCAAGTCTTAACTCCAAAAGCTCGTTCCATGTTAAAAAAAAAAAAAAAAAAAAAAAAAAAAGACAAAACGGACCTCTAAAAAAGGAACTTGAAATTAACCTCGAGTTTAAACTTACAAAAGAGTTTCCAAGGACAAACTGCCTAACACTGAAACTGAACGTATTATGCAATATGAAAACAAATTAAATTATAATGAATAGATGTTCCTAAGATTTTCATCAATGGACCCATCACCAAGAAATTTTATTAGCAAATGGCTATGAGAAGGTTCAAACAATGACCACACTTAAATCCCTAAAATTCAATGAGCAAATAAAACATTTTCTATGAACTACTTATGAAGGAAATAAAAACAAAATTCAAATTCGAACGTTAATTCAACTTAAAAATAAAAAATAAAAAATAGATAAAAAAAAAAACTAAAGTTAAACCTCTACAGATAAAGCAAAACAGCTGCTTTCAAAACAATAGATGCAACCACAATATTGAACAAATGCTTCAAAGAAAAAGAATGCCAGAAACCGACCTTTCCCATTGATCTGAGAAGTTTCATTAGGGAGCTGGGAACAACTGCACTCACAGAAAGCGAAGCACGCTCATCAAGGATGACATTCTGAACAGTGGCACCCAAGCTGTCAGTAAAACTTACTAGTGGTAATGCAATATTTCCCTAAGTGAGATGGGCCGTATTTTGTTCAAAGTTTAGAAAATAAAAACCAAAATAATCCTGATATTAAAAATATCGAAAATTGAAATTGATTGTTTTTAAAATGAGGTTATTTTAACAATTTGCATCATGAAACTTTAACAAAACTAATAATTGTATTGTTTTTTTTGTTTGGGATACTTTTTTTGGAAATTTATCGATAATAAATGCTAAACTTTATAAATTTAATAAGTGTCAATTTTATCACAAAGCATCTGAAATTATGAAAGAGATTTTGGGAATTTTACAATTAAATTATATCCCAAACATGATAACTAAAAACATATATTTTATTAAAAATTTAAGATGTAAATTTCTATTGCCCTCAATCTCAAAATCATATGCTAACATTAAATTCAATTTCCATTTATTTTAACAACGGCGTTATTTTAGCTCTTATTTTAAGAGTTCATGATCAAAATCAGAACTTTTATATAATCTAAAACAAAAATGTCCTCCAGCATTCAATTGGGGGATCACTTTAGCTCTTTTCTAAGTTCAAATTTAATCAATGGAACATAAATGAGCCTAAAACATGGCAAAAAAAAAAAATGAAAATTTCAAAGGGGATGAAAAAACTAAAAAAGACATACAGCTCAACCCTTTCTCCTTGATTAAATGCAAAATTTTGAAAAAAAAAGTCAAATCATGCAATTTACAATTGATAGTCAGAATATCAACAAAGATTTTAAGTTTGATAAGTAGCAGAAAAAATAATACCACGTTGTGCAAGTCCCCTTCTTTGACCCAGATATATGGCTTGCCCTTCTTAAACATGTAATGTATCTTTGAAGTATGGATCTCATCCTTGCTATATAAGCAACAAGAAACGAACAACTAAATGATCAATGATTTTAACAAGCATTATATCTATCTATATGTCTGTGTGTGTGTGTGAGAGAGAGAGAGAGAGCGAGAATCTTATAATGAAATTAAGAAAGGTAAATTCATCAACATAAATGCCTATTCTCATAATTTTAAATTATATTTCTCCAAATGCTCAGAAAATTTTCTTTAATGAAATATAAGGAAAAAAAATCATAAGATAGAAGCATACTTTAAACAAGAAGCATTTCAATGATCACAATTTATTTCTTGATCATTTTAGAATAACCTAATTATTATCAAATAATAGCTTCATTATCATGATTAATTAAAATAAATTATAATTTAACTTCCTCCCAATTTAGTCCTGACTAAACATTTTATATTTGAATTAAAAAACATAGGATATATTCCAGCACGAATTATTTCATTAAGTAACATAGTTATTATGAATCTAATTTAATCATTGGCCTACTAACCTTTAATCAAATAACATGCATGCAAAACAGAAAAAAGAAAAAAAAGACACAAAAGTTAATCATAATTGCAATTGTCGATTAGAAGAAATCATATGATAATTTTTCTTTGCCACCATTGGTCATTGAACCCCTTGATGGCCACAATATCACTGGTCATGAATCCAAGTTGTTGCTTGTTATGATGCAACAGATGTGAGATCATGGAAGACGAAAAGCATCTATGGCTAGAGAACACCCCAAGGTACATAGGGGGAAGACAACCCAGCCAGAATGAGATCAATCAAAGCTTAACTGGTCTTGTTTTGGTCAATTAGCTAGATATGAAAAGGAAATAGTACCATGGAAGAAGATGACTCGACCCAAGCTAGTTTGGGTCTATCCAAGTCGTATTGAGAATTCTAATATTATGAGATAGTGAATTTAGATAACAAAAAAAAACTAACATCAATGAATATAAAATTAATTTCAGTTCTTTTGGAAAAACTTGCATAAAGTTTTGAAGTATCAAAATTTATCTAAAAGATCCATCATAGCTTCTACCGTCATATCTCTATTGCATGTTAAAGGCAGCTAAAGTTTCAAGTAAAAATAACCATAGAGCCACTGTAGAAAAAATAATTTTTTAGAAGACTATATGTCTTGTGGATATTTTACCATTTAATAAAATGGATAGCAATTTTTTTATAGCTATCACACTGTAGTAGATCAAGTTATACAAATTGTTTCTCGCCAAAAGAAATTCTATAAAGTGGCAACAAAATTATGGCCAAAAGAAATTCTATAAAAGAAATTCTATAAAGTGGCAACAAAATTATGGCCAAATAAAACTATGGCAGTTTTTTGAAAAATAAAATCGCGAAAAAACAACCTCGAACAGACCCCAGTAGAAATGCAGAAAAGTTTTATTCTAATTTATTTGGTTTTGATTAACTACTACGGCATGAGGGAAAACTGAAGTAAAGTGTTACTGAAGTTACCTGCCCTTGGCGTCAGCTTTAATTGTATTTAGATAAGCTTGACAGTTGGCTGCCAATATATTCTGCAAGACAAAAACTCTTAATTTCAGTGTAAGGGTTCAGAAAATTGTCCTTTAGAAAAAATACAGAGATTTACTAAAGTTAAAAAGTTATATTTTCTCTAATATAGCCAGGAATTAAGACAAGAGTGAGGAGCACTCACCTTGCATCTTTCAGCGAAAGTCAAAGCTGCCAACTTTTCTTTCATCTACTTCTAGTCAGCACTATGAACGTTCAAAAAAATGGCCTGCCAGCAAGTTCAAGAAGTTTTCTTAGAGTTAGAAAAATACCAACTTTGCTGGATGAAAGATATACAAGCCTGAAAAAAATTTATTGCGGGCATATCATTAAATCAGAAGAACATTAAATGAAGAGGGACCACTCAAGGTTAGAATAATTCCTTTCACTCTAATTTTCATCAAATAGCATGGTCAGCTGGCCAATGACTTTTCTTTATTCTCTCTTTATCCGTGACATGTATCTTGATATTAGACAATGCAAGTTTTCAAAGAGTCTAACGCAAGAATTTACAAATTATCTCTTAGTATTTTGCATACAATGAATGAGATATATTAATCTTGATGCCTTTAAGTGAACATAAAGGGGTGGATGGCTCAACTATATAAAGGGTTTCTTGAACAATTATCTTAAAGAATTATAAGTTTTCATTGAAGGATTGCCTCCTTCAATTTATGTCTATGTTTCTCAAGAGCAATATATACCTTTCCGCATAGACAAATTTCTAAGGGAGCGACATTCATGTCTCGTTCTTGAGAAGTGACAAGTGATATGAATCTACAAGTGCCACATCTCAAAATGAAAATCATAAAAATTAAATTAAATAAATGAAATATTTTTTAGGTTTTTAGATATTTCAAAAATGGTAGAGAAAGGTTATGAGAAGCCACAAGACGAAACAGGCTTGACAGAAGCCTAAAAGGAATCCTTAAAAGGAATTTTGAAAAAAGGCGAGGAGGAGGCGTCATTCTTAATCGACCAAGACTTAGATGAAGCTAAGAAAAAGAAGCACGTTGAAAGAACAATATGGAAAGCAAAATAATTAAGTCTCGGATATTATGTAACCGAAAATATATCTCCGTGGAGTTGAGAGAGATGAAGAGCTGAATCTACTTTGGAGATTTTCTTAAAATTTTATTGAAGGAAAAAGGTGTAAAGATTCTTTTTCTCAAAGATGAAAGTCATCAAGTTATTCCAAATGTTTATCATGTGTCAGTCTAGAACATGAAGAATAGCATCTTAAGCTGATCATGATTACTTGAAAAGGAGTATGACATACATATGAAAAATATAAGAGTTGTGCAAATGATTGGTTCGGTAGAATCGACTGAAAAATGTATTATATCAATTAAACCAAACCAAAAAATAGATAAAATCAAATCCACCAAATAAGATATGAACCAAACAGAATCAAAATGCAATTCAGTTTTGATTTAACTAAATTTTGAAATCTTAATAAAGAAGCATGTATTCGGTCAATTCATTTGATTGTTAGACGGTTTTGCTAAATCAATTTGTTAATGAATTTAACATAACCATAATATAATTCAGCATTTTAGTTTAACCGATTTTTGTTGAATCGAACCAATAATCAAAATCTAAATAACTCTTAAATTAGAACAAAATACCGAACCGTGATTTCATCAACCAAACCAAATCAATCAAACATGCTCAGCTCGGTTCAATTTAAACAGATTTATGCAAATCCCTACTCAGTTGGATGACAGAAGCTCCAAGCTAATATTTATCGAGTAAAAATTTAATGTTTATAAGTAAATTAGCCCTAATAATTTTAAATTGCTATGAGAAGAGATGCAGTTTAATGAAGAAACTTATGATTGGCAAAAAAAAAAAGGTGGAAGATGTTCATTATAAAATACATCTTCCAATGTGTGTAGAAAAACCTTCACTGCCATTTTCACCAAAATTTACTCCACCATTCATAGGAGAAAACCAAAGATGAGAAAAGAATCAAGCAGCTTAGGTGAGAATTAGGAGGTAACCAATAAGCTTCAGGCTTTTTCTTCATGCAAATGTTAAGCCTTCAGAATTTGAAGACGTAAAACAAGATGAAATATGAAGAAGTGCAATGGATAAAGAGATCAAGTTCTACGTGAAGAAGGATACTAAGAAGCTAATTCTACAGAAGGATAAAATGAGATTGGAGTAAAGTGGGCGTATAAAGCAAAAAAGGAGTGCAAAAGTTAAAATTGAAAAGGACAAAGTAATTTTTATGCCAAAAGAATACAAACAAAAGGCTAACAGCGACTTTGATAGGACATTTGCTCCTAAACTCTTTTCCCAATTCTTTGTATTTGCTTCTATCATTCGTATCACATAATCATTTCTATTGCTACATAGCATAATCTGTCTACTTTTCAGATGAATGTGTACGATGCTTTCTAGAATTGATTTATTGAAGAAGAAGCGTATGTTCAGCAACCTTTAGGTTTATAAATGATGACCATAACTCAAAAGTGTATAGGTTGAAGAAGGTGTTACATGGCTTAAGCAAAAGTAAAGAAGGCATTATATAACTTTCGCACCAATAGCATGGGATAATAAAATTGAGGCACGCTTCAAGAAAAATGGATTCATCTGATGTTTATATTAAACTACTTTTTACATGAAGATGAGTAGGAATAATAGAGTCTTATTTGATAGCTTGCATGTAGATGATTTTTTTCATTACAGACAAGAATCCATTTATATTTGAGAAGCTGAAGAAAACTATGGTCCTAGAGTTTGATATGATGGACATTTGGTTAATAATTTAAATCCTTTGAATTGAATTAAAGCAAACAATAGAAGGATTCTCTACCACACAAGAAGCGTAGCACAAGAATTTGTCAAAAGATTCAAAATGTATGATTGCCAAATAGTGGGCACAACAATAATTAGCAAGGACGTAGATACCAACTGCTTTAAAAGACCCAATTGGAAGCCTAATATATCCGGCATGCACAAGACTAAACACCCTGTATGGAGCTGGATTGATAATCAATATATAGATAAGTCAACTATGACACGTTTAAAGGCAGTAAGAGGATCCTTTGCTGCTACATCGACCCTCTAAATTGCGTCTTATTATATTTCTTTTCCATGAAGTTTAACTTTTTGGCTACTTGGACAACAATTGAAAAGGATGCCATGATTCTCAATAGGGTAAAACAAGCTTTGTATTCTGCATGGATGATGCAACATCCACATGGCTTTCAAAAAAAGCAACCAATTGTAGTTCCTACAAGCAGAGTGAAATATGATGCAACATCTTCTGGTGAAGTATGCAAAATAGAAAAAGAAATTACTAAAAGACATCCAAATCCTTCAATGTGACGATAAAAAAATTTACATGCATAAAAATCAGCAATAGCATTGACAAAGAACCTATGAAAGGAGCAAGCACATAAACATTTACTTCCATTTCTTAGTGATAAATAAAATTTAAGTTCTAAAAGGAGTGCATGAGGACCAGAGATCATGATGTTGACATTTTAACCAAACCTCTTGGTTGGAAGCAGTTCATCAAAATAAAAACACTCCTAGTAAGATTAATGGAGCCAAATCTTTTATTCAAGGGAAAGTATCATAAATTGAAGACACATTTTAGTATTTCTAGATGTATATTTTCAAGGAATCGTAGTGCATGAGTTTAGAAAATGTCGCTTGATATTTTGCATGCATTAAATGAGGGAAATCAATATTAATACGTGAATATAGATTTTATTAAAGTTTTTTCTTCTACAGTTCATGTTTTTTTCTTCATCCATGTGATTAATATATATCTTACCACAAACTCAAATTTCTACAGGTAATTTACATCTAATTCTACTGATATAAAAGGTCTCCAGCACCTAAAATCTTTATTAGAACTGCTGAATATTTTGATTTCCCAGCTCCTCAAATTAGAAAATGGACATGGAAAGGTACAAATAAAATAAATAATAATTTCAAGTTTACTAGCACGTCCATGGTTCCATACAACACATTAGCTCCAAGAGCAGTTTTTGTCTTAATAGCAATTCTTATGTAAACTATATAGTTCAAACCAGATCTTACACAAAAAGGACTAAATAGATAAATCTATCCAATTTATCAATATTATGATCATTGTCTGTAAATCCACCCATGCATGCCAACATCTACGCCAAGCCTAACTATCAATAGCTTGCCATATCATGCACTGCACAACGTGAGTAAGGCAGAGCTTGTTCAGACAAATATATCAAAGACCAAGCTTTCTCAATTCTCACACATTGCTGCTTTCACATTCAATACCTACTAACCTGCCTATAACATTCTTCATCTCCCCACTTACTTTAAAAAAACTAATTTTCATTTTTAATACATCAATTTCATCAATTTTACATAATTTTCATTTTGGGATAATAAAAAAATTTCAGCATTATGGCCAATTAATTCTTACCGAAAACTTGAAGAAATGGTTCGACCATGACTCGATAAGCAGAAAATTCATCCTCGTATTATTGGCACTACTTTTTTAGTCATTAAACAATATCAATGAAGAAAGAACTCATACGCACTCACAGTTAACACACATAAGAAACGGACTATTCCAAAATGAAGATAAAAAAATCTCTACTTAGAAATATTCATCAAACAAAGTCATAGGCTGAGGAAGAGTGTCGTGGTAAGAAATTAGGTACACGGCTCCACTTCTTTGAACCCTGAGCTTAGTGTCACCTCCCAAAAGAGCCCTTATGGGTGGTGCGCAGCCTAGGACTTAAATACTGCTTTTTGGCCCTACCCCTAGCCGATGTGGGACTATTTGTCTGTGACATTCTCCTCCACCCAATCCCGTGACGCCCTCGTCACGGATCGGCTCCACCGAGGGTCCCACTGGACCATGGAGTCCACACACTTGGCAGGCCTTGTCACCTCCCAAAAGAGCCCTTATGAGTGGTGGGCAGCCCAGGACTTAAATACTGCTTTTTCGGCCCACCTAGCCAACGTGGGACTATTTGTCCGTGACACACGGCTGCCCAGCTTCCCGGTAACTATATTCATCCAGTCGCCATCCCAGCAGGAGGAGAAGAAGATTTATGAAAAAAAGAGAAACATCGGAAACGATACACAGAATCGGAAAGCGAGTGGAGTGCCGTGCATATGCGCGTGAAAGCGCAAAAGGGCGACATGGAGAAATAGTGCTGAAATGAATCGAGGGATTGCATTAACTGCGGCAAATTACAATGAGGCGGGACAAAGTGAAATAGAGCAGGAGTAGAGCCTTGTGACCGACGATTTCAAAGTACCTGAGTTCGAGGAGGCGGAAGTAGCAGAGATAGGCGGCCGCCGAGGCTGAGAAGCGGAAGCCTACCGGACTGGAGCTCAGCAGGTCCGTCGGAATAGGGAATACGGCTGAATGGACGACAGCGCGGCATAGTGTTTTCCACTATATAAACATTTGATATTAAAGATGCTATTAGATATCATATTAATTATTTAAAATTTAAATATAATATTTAATCATTTAAAATTTTTAATATAACATTTATTTTTTGAAAAACCGTCCATAGCAAATCACACTCTTTTACACTAATGAAGAGTGCTTTTAGGGGCAACTTATGCCTTTCAAAATAAGCAGCTTATCTTGAAGCGCGGCCTGCGAATCGACCGCGTTGTTCGACCCTACATTTAATATAAAAATAGAACCACATTTTCCGATAAACGGGTAAAATGTGATTCAAACGTTACGTTTTAAAAAACTTTAATTGCACAAAATTTTCACTCAAAAGACTTCGAGCAAAGACAATTAAAATATAATATTTAGAGTTTTTTTTTTTTCACTACAACAACCACCTTTTGCCCGACAATAAAGATTTTGAGTGAAATTTTGGTGGTTCAAATGATAAATTTAAAGTTTAGCGTGGTTAAAATATTTTATTTAAAGTTTGATGGTTAAAATGTGATATTCAATATTTCGAATGATTGATATTTAAAATAATGAATAAGATCAATGCACATATTATTACTTAGTTTTTATATAAGGGACATTTACATACATACCCACCAATTATTATGTACTTATATACCTAACACTCAAAAAGCTTCTTTTTAGATTTATAACATTCAAATATTTCACATCACAACAAACATATCATGATTACAATTTTTAAAAAGTGAAATATATTTTTTCATGCATGAGAAATAATATATGTATGTAAAAAATTAAAGTATTAGATATGTAAAGAAATAAAAATTGAGTGGAATATATTTTTTTGTTTGGTATATTGAAATTAACACAAGCAAAAAATTATTTGATGCTTCATATTGTCTAAAAGCCAATCATTGTAAGGCATGTGATGAATGGCAATTCAACTTGTGTTAAGGGTCTGTTTGGGGCAGTTGCAGCTTATTGAATGATCTGCTGATAAGCTGATTAAAAATAATCTGCTGATAAGCTAGGTGCGGTGGCTATTACAAATTTTTATATTTTTGAAAAAGTCAGACCGTTGTCAGATGTTGCCACCGCACCTAGATAGGTGCGGTGTGAAAACGCTGTTTTCGGCGTTTTGTTTTCGGTGCGGTGTGAAAACGCTGTTTTCGGCGTTTTGAAAACACATAAGCTGTCAAAACGCAGTTTACCCAAACAAGCCAAGTGCGTTTTCAAAACGCCACCGCACAAAAAAAACTACCCTAAACGGACCCTAAAACTCACGTTTTAGACCATATTTGAGTGTTTCTATATATTAATAATTGCTTGATTGCTCCGATTATCAACGATTTTGCTACATTAACATAACACAAATTCGAAATGCTGTGATTCAAATTTTTCACTCAATATATATATATATATATATATTCTAATAGCTTTCTAGCTTTGGTGCAGGCTTTCCAGCAAACACTTAATATCTGCAACATTCTCCGGTCAATAAAGAATGAAACAGTGAAATTCATAATACAGAGGAGATAGGAATTTGATTTAAACATTTCATATTACTAGAAAAAAAATAAATAGTTTCACAAAAGAAGCTAGAGATATAGCTGAATAACTTCATCCTTCAATCAAGCAGCTAAGCTGATAATTAATGGAACGTGAAAGATTAGATTGCATTCAGATTCCAGCAGCAACTAAAAGTCGGGGATTCCTAATTCAACCTGAAGAGGCCTAAGTCCAGGTTCTTCCAACAAGCTTAATGCAGAAAATCCGTAGAAGGAATGGTAGAGATCAGGATATGTAATATCTGGGAATTTTTTGAACCCACCAAACTGGAAACCACAAGAAAATTTTGTAAGATGAAAGAAAATTGCATAAACTTAGGGTCCGTTGGAGACGGGTGCAACGTTTTTGTAAAGATGATTGTAAGACTGTGGCGGGAAAAACAATTCTTAGAAAGCCGTAGCGTGAATTATAGATGGGGAGGTTTGCATACATAGCACTCAATTCCTATGTATTTACATACTTAACACCTAAACTTCAATTTTCACATATAAATATATCGCCTTACTATTGCATAAAAAGGTGTATTTCACTTTATAAAAGTTAAAATAGTGGTATTTTTTACGTGGTGCAAAAGATTGGGTGGTATGTGTGTGTGTGTGTTGTGTTGCCAGCCGTGACCTGTTGACAGAGCAGCCTCTTTGAAAGTTGTAAGTCCCCTCAGGTCACAGGTTCAAATCCCCCTCTGGCTAGTTTGTCGTTAGTGAGGGCGGTCCTCAAATAGTTTAGCACATGAGGGTGGTTGTGGGCTCGTATAATAGCCTCCGACCATTCCTTTCAAAGAAAAAAAAATATTGCGTGTGTGTTTGTGTGTAAAACTTAAAATTTACATGTTAGATATGTAAATACATTGTAATTTTGTATGTAAATGCCCCCATATAAATATTTAGTTTTTGCCTAAAAATCGGAAAATAGCTTGTTTACAATCACAACACTTTACAACTCTAGTTGCAAAAAGCACATTCTCACCAAAAGAAATTTTAGTAAGCAGCAAGAAAATGGTTCTCCAAATAGAACTATGGCGGCGGGTTGAAACACAATGTAGATAGAAAAATGTTCCAAACAAACCCTTAGAAAGAAGCATGGAGGAGTATGTGTGCACCTTAGACTGGCAAGAAAGTAAGAAACTGCGCAAAGCTTCTTTGTTGCAGAAGTGGTATCCACCCAAGAGCTTCAGAACGCCACCAACCCTGTACAGAGAATGAATCTCAGGAGGAGAAATAATCAATGAAGAGCAGATTAGGGAGTAGTTGGTTACCAAAATGCATAACAAGTATCACTGGGCTTGTTGGCCCTGCCTTGGAATCCTCCATCAACTGATTGCCGCTGCAGAAATAAAACATCCCATTACAGAGCAGATAATAAGGGAACCAAAATTTTTAGTTAACAATGAAAAAATGGTTAAATCAATGCCAATCAATAATGATAAACAAAAAAAAATATCATTTTAAGTTTCAATTACATTACAAAGCATAGAAAATTTGTTGCATGTGCATCAAAACTATGAAAAAATTGAATAAAATATAGGTGGCGTTCATTGCTATGATTATCTTAATAATCAACAAAACAGGCTTTGAAGTATAAATCTCAGAAGACTAGCAGATCGTGCAAGGAATTCCTATTCTTCTTCATGTCAACTACTTGATTTCGCTGTTAGCCAAGTCGATTAGAAAGGATTGGGTCAGGAAGGGTCTCCTCATTCAACAGTAACTTGGTTGATAGAACAATTACATCAAAACAATCAATTTTTCATGCAAATAAACAGGATACTTGATACTTGAAACAAAGACAATGATAAAAGAAAACCAAGGGGCAAAGTAGCTGCAAGTGAGATTGGCAGAATTGAAGAGATGTAAACAAAAAACTAACAGTATAAAAATAAAATTCACAAACCAACTTCAAGTAGTTGAGTAAGGCTGATGGTGACCAATAAGTGAGGAAAAAAACAGGTTTTTTATTTATATTTAAGTTTGGTGGTAGAGTGCTTACAAAACTGCTCCAGTGGAAGCATTTCTCCAACACATCAAGAATAAAAATGGCAAAACTGATCGCTTTCCACAAAACAGCTTTATTCAAACACTACAGCTGGCCAAATTAAGCCCTCATCTCACAAACTAGCTATGTCCAACATGCAACAAAAAGCAATATGTTTTCCTTCACTAACATTCATTTCATGCAAGAATATTCTTGTGCGGCAAAAATAATTGCCAGCACTTGTGATCCGAAAAAGATAAAATTTTAAAAGATATTACGCAAAAGGGATACACACTGCCCAAATATTTGATCTGCATGGACAAGACACTATATTAATGGCAAAATTTTAGATTAATGTGTCGTGTGGTTCATTTATAGTACCAATGGTTTCCCATAGTGTAGTAAATATGTATGTTGCTCCGAACTTAAAAGGAGATGGGAGAAAACCTTCCCTAGATATTATGTTCCATCATTTAAAGTCCATTGGCGGAAAATTTGATTTTTTTTATAAAGACAAAAGATTTGTAATAAAACAACAATAATGTCAAAATAGTCCTCAGATTCTTGTAACTGGGGGCGGTGACTATTTCAGCCATATCATAAGAGTCAGATGCCTAAATTGGCCTAAATTGGCCTTCTTTTATACTCTAGGACTAAAAAGATTCTCACAAAGAGTCCAGTGGCTATTTTGACACTTTATACTAATGTCTAACATGACGAATTTTCCAATAACTTGACATTATGAATTGTACCTGCAAGCTCCACTCCACTAAAAGTGGCACATCAATGACACATCGTTGAGAAAATTTCGATATGATGGCAGTTTCCAAATAACCCATCAAATGGAGAGCTGACACTGCACAGTACGTTGCACCACCTGCGTCACTAAGACGAAGACAAATCATGAGCCAATATGCATAAAACATCGTAAAATCCAAAGAAAAATTTGACAGCTTTAAAAAGGTCAGCGCTTGCAGGTATGTAGATAATGTTCTTACCATGGGACTCCGCCCCAGGCACGAGCCCAAAGCCTCCATCATAAGACTGCAAGCATTAGTTGAGAGAATGAGCAAATCACATTGCAGACCCTAATAAAGCGCTAATGACGTAAAAAACAGGGTAATTTTAGGTGGAAAACATTCAAAATCCCATTTTTTAAAGGAACGACCTGACACTTGAGTATATATTCCTTTGCCTTCGTTTTATCCATTCCAGTCCAATTGTTCAACATAAAACAGATTGCAGCTGGTAACATCATCCAACAGAAAGAATTTAAAGACTAAGTTCATATATATATGCAATGAGAACCGTTCTAACCAGCACAATATAGGAATCGAAGATCTGCTTCTGCCCCAGTATGAATGGGCATAAAGCTGTCAAAAGAAGAAGAAGAAGAAGAAAAAAAAATACTATTTTTTAGGAGAGGATGGGAAAATTTTCAGCGTATACATGTAAATAGCATCAATGCATGCCCAATATTTCACTACATCTCATTAAAGTCTCATATTTAGTTTAGTACATAGAGAGTTCAAGGAAAGAAAAAAAAAAGATTTACTTGCATGCCACTCAATTCTTATGTATTTACATACTAACACCAAAACTTTAATTTTTACATATATGCCACCTAAACTAAGCATGAAAATGTATATTTCAATTTATAATAGTTAAAATAATGATCTTTTTGATGTGGGATGAAAGATTTGTGTAAATGTTGAAAAGTAAAGTTTAGGTGTTCGATGTACATAAATAAGAATTGGGTGGTGTGCTTGCAAATGCCCCAAGAAAAAAACAATAATACTGGATCCACATATACAACTTCTTGCATTTATTTTTCCCCTCTTTTTGCCATAAAATTCGATCATATCAATGACATGTCCAGTTTTCAACCTGTTACTTTTAATTGTAAAAGAAAAACTTGATAAAATTGCCGAGTGGTTGAAGCAGAAAGTATACCTTCCATCAGGCAGTTGAAGCTCTCTCATCGAAACCAATATTGGTTCAATACAACAATTTGAGAAACTGTAACCAACAATTTTCAAGATGGCAAGGGCACAATATGTGCTGGCTAGGTGGCTACAATTGTTACCAGAAACCTATTTGTGTTAACAGATATGTCAATAAAGTTAGGAGCATTTACATGCATACCACCCAATTCCTATGTATTTACATATCTAACAACCAAAATATATTTTTTACATTTATACCACCAAAAACCTATGCATAACTAAGGTGACATATATGTAAAACTTGAGGTTTAGAAGTTAGCAAATATAAAGGAATTAAGTGGCATGACATAAATCTTCCATAAAGTTAACAGTATAAACAATACTCCATTCAATAACTACAACTAAAGAATCAATGTAACGTACCCTTTCACCATCAACTAAAGTGTTTGGAGGTGCGGAACCACCAAATCCATAGAATTGTCCTGAAGCAAGCTGACAGCTTAAAAAAGATTCTCAAATCTATGATAAATAAAATTGAAATGATAAGATCAATTCCTTTGAAAATTAACCTTAAAACATACCATTTTTAAGATCAGCATCGCTTTTAGGATGTTCTTGAAATGACAAAACCCATCTGACCAACTGATCCTTGTTAACCTTGAAAAATTGAATAAATTTGATGTCAGTTATAACAGCCACTGATTTTAGAAGAGCAACGATTTGTCAGTCATATCATCAACATCATGAACACTAACAATGTCCTAGCTATGAAAACATGCCAACCATAATCTATAGCATTAATAAAGACCCTAAATAGAGCCGTTGACTACTACAATAAAAGAGAAGCAGAGCAACTATTTATATTATTAATCCAAATTTATCTGTGGGTGACACGAGAGTATTACTAACAAAAATGAATCAATATAGAGAGGGAAAAATTGAGAAAAGAAAAAGAAAATCTGGACTAAGATGCTTCGAAATTTTACTATTTTAAAGCAAAGTACAAAATTTATACAAAGGATTCAATTATCCCAGGCTCATCCTCTGCCCCCACTGTTTATAGGTTCAAATTCAGGCACAATGCTACATGAAGACCAAAAAATAATGATACAAGTAAAATTATATAGCAAGGATTAACACGTACTTTTTATAAAATGAACTTCTCTAGAGTCTAATGCCAACTTAACAAAGGCTTGTCGAGTTCTTGCAAATTCTAGTGATTAGATATTTGAATATTGGGTGAATTAATTTGGGTGGTTTGGCAAATTGTTGGATTTATGAAGCTGAAGCACCCACACAGAGCACACAACACATATGCGCTGGGTTGTGGGCTCATATGCGTCCACTTGTGGGCGTTGACGGGTGAGGGAGCACACCTTTGGGCGCCGCTCCAGAAAGCCCAGTGCTTAGGAGCCACATCTGGGCATTTATGTGCCCGGCGTAGTTGGCATGCATTTTTTGATTTTATGACCAACTTCGAGCGGCGAAATGTGTGCTTCCTGTGCGAGTTCTTCGATAAGTTATTGGTGAATGTGGGAAGTATCGGAGAGGAGAATTTATGTAATCTCGACGTGTGTTTCTAGCGTCGGATCAGAGCATGAAGAGTTTGAAGCCAGGTCTTGTATGTTTCCTTGAGTGTGGAGAAGAAATCGAGTATTTTCTCTATAGAACTTTCTGATTCACAGTGGAATTTTTCTGGTGGTGTTGCTTCGTGGTTTTTTTCTATTCCCGGATATTTCCACATTAAATCCTTGTGTAATTTTATGGTTTGCTTTTATTGTGTTTATGCTCGTAAGTTTTTTCCGGTTTTCTCGAATCTACGCGATCCTATTTCTTGGTGTGGTTTAGATTTTTAATTGAGTCTAAAGCCTGGTGAATTTTGTGAAGGAGATTCTTCCGCCAGTTAATCTCTTTCCCAAAAAATTGATATCAGAGTGGAGTTAGATTCAAGTGAGAGCAATGACTAACAAAGTAAGATTCAAAATGGAGAAGTTAATGGGACAAACTTCGCATTCTGAAAGATGCAAGTGGAGGATTTGTTGTATTAAAAAATATTATACTTGTCACTACAAAGAATTATAAGGAAGTTTGTGTCCATGCTTATGGAAGAATCAAAAGTGTTTGATTGAACGACACTAGATTTGATTAATTTGTCACTTTCCTCATCTGTTGCGTTTAATATTAAAAATGAGAAAACTACGATGAATCTCATGACAACACTAGCGAAGATGCATGAAAAAACTTCTACTTCCAATAATTTTTTTCTGATGAAGAAGCTATTTGAATAATTTTAATACCGAGACAAGCCAGTTGTCTTCTGTGGGGATCAAATTTGATGATGAGGTCAGATTAATGGTGATATTATGTTCATCGTCGAATTGTTGGGATGGTTTGATCACGGCGTGAGTAATTCTTCAGGAAATTCGAAGTTGAACTTCGATGACATCGTGAATCTGATGCTGAATGAAGAAGTTTGCAAAAAAGCATTGAATGGTGATCTTGAGGTTCTGCATTGAATGCTGAAAATAGATGAAGAAATCCGAGCAAGAATACAGGCAGAGGCAAGTTCAAGTTTGTGAGAGGAAAGTCCAAGTCAAGCAGAGGAGGATGTTGGAATTGTGGTAAAAAAGAGCATTTCAGTAAGGGCTGCAAAACTTCAAGAAAGCTAGTGGTGAAGAACAAAAAATGAATCTCTCTACAAATGTCTCCATCGGTGAAATCCAAAATGACTCTCTGATGTTATTCCTAGTCAGCAGTGAATCATGGATAGTAGATTTAGGTGTCTTATTTCATGCATACCCCAATAAAGAGGTATTTAAAAACTACACTCAGAGCGATCTATAAAAAATTTATTTGGAAGATAACAAGGAAAGAGTGATGCTAATATCAAGTCATCGAACAAAATAGTTTGGAAACTTATTGAAGTTAGACATATTCCAAGTTTGAAAAGAAATCACATCTCTATGAGCCAGTTGACAAAGTCATGACTTGTGACTACTTTGACCAGTGATTCGTGAAAAGTGATCATGAGGCATTAGTGATGACTCAACACAACATTGATGACACTCTTTATCGAATCAATAAAATGAATGATTTCATTGATGTGGCTCGAACCAGGGTAGATGCTGATCTGTGCACTATAAGCTTGGCTATATGAGCGAGAAATGCATGAAGTCCCTACTTTATAAAAATAAACTTCAGGGTTTGAAATCAGTTGATATGGATTTCTTTGAAGATTGTATATATAACCAAGAGAAGAAAATTTCTTTCTTTAAGAGCAGGTTAGTGGTGTAATCAAAGAAACTGAAATTAGTGCATACTGACATATGGATTCTGCTCTAGTTCAGTCCATTAGAGATTTTCGCTATTTTGTGGCTTTTATTGGTGATCAAATAAAAAATATATGAGTTTATTTCTTAAAGCAAAAAAACATATATATTTAAAGTCTTGAAGAAATGAAAGGTCGTGGTAGAACAGGAGACAGACTTGAAGTTGAAGTGTCTCATATCAGATAATGGAGGCGAGTACTGTGATCAGAAGTTCAGGAATTTCTGTGCTACAGAGCGGATTAAACATGAGTTGACTGTCACAAGGACACCACAACAAAATAGTATGGCTAGGCGCATGAACAAAAAAATCATAGAGCGAGCTAGGAGGCATGAGACAGCATGTAGGCTTGCCAAAATAATTTTGGGTTGAATCAGCAAATACTGTAATTTATCTAATAAGCCATGGTCCATCAATACCTTCAGAGGAAGGCTTACCTGAAGAAGTTTGGAGTGATAAAAATGTAAATTTATCTCATTTAAGAGTATTTGGGTATTTTGCATATATGCATATTGATGTGGGTTCCAGGAGCAAACTTGATTCAAAATCTATTAAGTGCACCGTCATTGGATATGACCCAAACGAGTTTAGGTACAAGTTCTAGGATTATTAGAATCAGAAATTTATCAGGAGCAAAGATGTCGGTTTTAATGAAATGGGGATGTAAAAGGACATGATCATAAGTCAGGATAACCCATCAGCTACTTCTGTATAGTCCGAGTATGTTGAGATACTAGACACTGATGATGAGAAAGGTGAAGAAAGAAGTAGTGCTCAACTAAAAGAAGCACTAAAATTTCCTCAGTCACTTGCTACTGAAGTCAAGAAATCCAATAGAGTGATACGACTCGTACACAAGTATTTTCCTTCGTTATATTATTTGTGATTAACTGATAGACTGAAATAGGAGTCAGATGGTAGCAAGAGCTACAAGCAAAGAATTGTTTTGAAGGGTTTCCAACAGAAGGAAGTAGTGGATTACACAAAGAACTTGTCCCCAGTGATAAAGGTGACGACTGTCAGGGTTGTACTGAATCTGGTAGCAGAAGAAGATCTACATCTAGCACAGATGGATGTAAAAATAACTTTCTTATATAGAGATCTAGAGGATGAACTACAATTGATGCAACCATAGGGTTACAAGTTCCATACAAAGAATGTTTGGTCTGTAGATTTAATAAGAGCAACTATGGCTTGAAGCACGCTCTGAAACAGTGGTACAAGAGGTTTGAAATATTTATGTCACATAATGGGTACTTGAATTGTCAGACATACCACTTTTGTTGATAATTGTTATATCTTGTTTCTTTTGCATGAGGATAACATGTTGATTACAGGAGTAGATATAGAGAAAATTAGAGACTTGAAGAAACAATTATCAAGTGAGTTTAAGATGAATGATTTATGTCCAACTAGAAAATTCCTCGGGTTGAGAAGATCCTGCAGCGGTTTAGCATGAGTGAGGCGAAACCAGTTAGCACTCCTTTAGGTCATTTCAAACTGTCTAAGGAGCCATCGTCTACCTCTGAAGTAGAGCAAACACAGATGGATAAAAGTCTGCATGCTTCAACAGTTCGAAGTTTGATTTATGCAATGATTTATATCAGACTAGATATTGCATATGCAGAAAGAGTGGTCAGCAGATCAGTGGGCAATCCAGACAAATATCATTAGGAGGCGATGAAGTGGATTCTAAGGTGTTGGAGGGGAACAGTCAACAGGACACTTTGCTATGGAAGTGCAGGGATCGATCTACAAGAATTTGTATATTCAGATATGGCAAGAGATGTAGATAGTAGGAGAAGTGCAATAAGATATATATTTATTTTGGGGAACACAGCGGTGAGCTGAATTTCCAGTTTGCAGAAAATTGTTATACTTTCAACTATGGAGGTCCAATACATTACTATCACTGAGGTTTATAGAGCCAAAACACCCACACAGATCACCCGACGCAAATATGCCTACTTGTGGGCACTGACAGAGGAGGGGGTGCATTTGGGCGCATAGGCGCCCATTATTGGGCGTCGCTCTAGTAAGTCTGAGTACTTAGGCGCCAAGTCCCGGAGCTTATGCGCTTGAAGCAGTTGGCACAAATTTTTTGGTTTTAAGAACAATTTTGAGCAATGAAATGTGTGCTTCCTGTGCGAGTTCTTCAACAATTTTCCGTTAAAAGTGAGAAGTGTCGGAGTGGAGGATTTCTGTGATCTCGACATGGGTTTCTTTCGTCGAATCAGAGCATGAAAAGTTTGGAGACAAGTTTTCTTGAGTGTGGAGAGGAAATTGAGAATATTCTCTATAAAACTCTCTGATTTATAGTGAAATTTTTC